TACCGCGCGGCCGCGAGGTCTCGGGCGAGGTCGACCTTCGTGGAGTCGGCGGCGTCGTGATGAGCGGGCTGCCTGGCACGTGGCGGCGCGGAGGCTCATGCTGTTTGGTCTGTCCACGCTGGTCCGACTGCACGACGTAGGACTGAAGCCGAATTCCATGTCCGAATTGGCGCTTAATTCGGCTCAAGTAGGTTTTACGCGGTCGTCATGTCCTAAAACAGATTTTCGATGAGGTTTCCAACCACGTCTAACAGTCGGCAACATCCGTCCATGACAAAATAGTGACTTTTCATTTGAAATGGTAGAAATCAAGTCCCTTTTTGTCATTTCATGTTGGGTGCCAAAGTAAAACACATTGTGGCATCGCGTTAAAACAGTAGCACCGCTTTGTTCCGCTGGTCACGATGGCAGCGGTCCTGCCAAGCTCGGCCCGATGGCTCTCGACGATTCGGAAGGGCAAGTCGGTCTCGAGCGCGCGATGGCTCAACCGCCAGCAGAACGACCACATCGTCAAGCAGGCCAAGCGCGAAGGCCTTCGGTCCCGCGCAGCGCTCAAGCTCCGCGAGATCAACGCGGTGCGACCGCCCAGCACCCGCAGCCATGGCTTCTGATGCATGCCGTAGAAATTCAACGTCGTGCGCAAAGGCAACGTTGTGATCGACCTCGGCGCCGCGCCTGGCGGCTGGACGCAGGTATGCGCCCCGCCTTCAAGCGACTGGCATGCCCATGGTTGTAGATTGCGATCGACGAGTGTCGAAAGGGCAGCCCGCCCGAAGACCCCGAGAAGCCCGGCAAAGTCAACGTCATTGCGATCGACTTGCTGCACTTTGTCGCGTTTCCAGGCGTCGGCGTCATCGTCGGCGACTTTCGCAAGCCCGAGATCCAGGCCAAGATCACAGACTACTTGGCCGGCCGGCAAGCCGACGTGGTCCTGAGTGACATGGCACCGTCCTTCTCGGGGCTTGGCTTCCGCGACAGCGAAGACCAGCTGCGTTTGTGCCAGAACGCATTGCGCATGGCGCAGCTCTACCTCAAGCCCGGCGGCCGGTTCGTCTCCAAGGTGCTGCGGTCGCCGGCCGGCGATCAATTCCGGCAAGAGCTCAAGCCGTTCTTCGAGCAAGTCAAGGCCATGAAGCCCGAGTCGTCGCGGCCCGAGTCGACCGAGATCTTCTTTATTGGCCTCGGCTTCAAGCGCCCGGACGAGTCGCAATAATTCACATGGGGAGAAAAGTCTCAAAGTCGCTGATATTAGTTGGGTACAGAGTGGAGGATGGGACGGCATCTACTTCTTGCGGAAGACGGTGAGCGCGATCGCAAGCACGGGCACGGCCACCGCCGCGGCCAGAAGAGACCAGTGGGGCGTCGAGGCGGTCGGCTTCGCGGCGCTGGGCACCTTGGCCGGTCGTCTATCACCCCACAATAGACGTATCAAGATCAACGTTTTGTTATCAAAAAGGGAAAAAACACAAGCAAATTACGCGTCCGTGAGGGCGTTGACACCCGGGAGGATCTTGCCTTCAAGGAGCTCCAAGCTGGCACCACCGCCCGTCGAGACGTGGCTCACCTACCGCATCGTGAGCGCGGTGCACCATCTTTATATAGCCTCGTACCTTGTCTTCCGTGTCAAACTTGACGCAGCACGTGGCAGTGTCACCGCCGCCGATGATCGTCGTCGCGCCCTTCTGCGTGGCCTCGACGACCGCGTCCATCACACCCTTCGTGCCCTGGGCTACAATAGACGAGAGGCATGAGCTGTGCAATCGCGATACTCGAACGCAGCGTACCGAACGCGTCAAACTCAAAGACGCCCATGGGGCCGTTCCAGACAATGGTCTTGGCACGCACGCAGGCCTCGGCGAAGATGGCCTTGGACTTGGGGCCAACGTCGAGACCCATCCAGCCGTCCGGGATGCCATCGGCTTCGTCGACGACCGACGTGTTGGCGTCGGCGGCAAACTTGTCGGCAATGATAAAGTCGACCGGGAGGTGGAGCTTGACGCCCTTGGCCTTGGCCTTCTCGACGATGTCGAGGACGATCTTGGCACCATCGGCGTCGTAGAGCGAGCCGCCAATGTTCATGTTGTCGATGACCTTCTTGAAGGTGAAGGCCATGCCGCCGCCGACAATCATCTCGTCGACCTTGTCGAGCATGTTCATGATGAGCTGGATCTTGTCCGCGACCTTGGCGCCGCCGAGGATCGAGAGGAACGGGCGCTCCGGCGCGTCGAGCGCCTTGGCAAAGTACACGAGCTCCTTGTCGAGGAGGAAGCCCGCGGCCTTGACCTCGAGGTCGACGCCGACCATCGACGAGTGCGCGCGGTGCGCCGTGCCGAACGCGTCGTTGACGTACACGTCGCCGAGCGTGCTGAGCGACGCGCGGAAGGCCGCGACCGCGTCCTTCGAGGCAGAGACCTTGTTGCCATCGGCGTCCTTGCCCTTGCCTTCCTCTTCGACGTGGAAGCGGAGGTTCTCGAGGAGGATGACCGAGCCGTGGACCGGGTCGGCGCACGCGGCCTCGACGTCGGGCCCGACGCAGTTGTCAAGGAACTGCACATCGCGGCCGAGCTTGGCCGAGAGGCACGTGGCCACCGGCTTGAGCGAGTACTTGGCGACGACGTTGCCGTCCGGGCGGCCGAGGTGCGACATCAAGACGACCGACTTGGCGCCCTGGTCCAGCGCATACTGGATCGTGGGCAGGGCCGCGTCGACGCGCTGCGTGTTGGAGATCTCGCCGTTCGCAAAGGGCACGTTGAAGTCGACGCGCATGAGCACGCGCTTGCCACGCACGTCGACGTCCTTGATGCTGACCTTGACCATGATGTTGCTTAGTGGTTCTTAGTGTGAGGACACTTGGAAAATGAGGTTGCCGCAGTCAGAAGGCAATCTCGCGGGCTCCGCGTATGTACGTACGAGAATGTACGGTCGTACATTCTGTGCATTCGACCTAGCAGCGACTCGAACGCTGTGGACGCCAACTGCACTCGATGGTGCAGACACTATGTCCAATGGGTTCTAGATAGGTAGATACATGTCCTTTGCGACGCGAGTACGTACTTATGGGCATGGCGCGGCCGCTGCGAGCGACGTACGCGGGACCGTACATGCGACATGCCAACGGAGCAATGACGTATCTGTGTCACCAAAAAGGATGCGCTGGGATTGGTTCAAAAGACACGGCGTTCAGCGAATCAGGTGCCACGTTCTATGCAAAGGACGCCATACAAAGCGGCTATGCAAACAATCCAGCAGCCGCGACTTGGGTGACTCTAGCCGCACGCAACAATCGCCTCGGATGCGCGCAAGAAGGATGTGGCGAACAGAAGAAAGCGTGGTGTTTTTAGTCTATTGCGTCCCCTTGACGTCGACGAGGGATTTCCTTGGAGAAGCGGGCTGCAAAGGCGCGCCGCGCTCACTTGAGCAGCTGCGAAAAGTCTTGCGGCGGCGACGCGTGCCACGCCAGCACACCCAACGCCACGGCGCTAAGCGTGACGGCAAACACTTGCAGAAGAAACGACGCGCCGAACGAGACACCCGAGGAGGCGAGGCCACCGGCGATCGCAGCCCAAGTAGCTAATGCTGCAATACCAAAGACGCAGCTAAAAGCCAAGCTCCACAGCGCAAGACGTGGCAGCGCGGGAAGCTTCCGCTTGCAGATCGTCACGTGCAGCACGAGGGTGAGGGCGGCAAGAAGGCCGCAGGCGACGCCAAACCCGGCAAGCACCAGCGCCGCCGTACCATGGCTGCTGCAGACGTTGTCCATGAAGTGCGCGAACGCCTCGTTGGGGATGCCCGCCGTCGTCGACAGCAGCGTCGAGGTGCTATACATCTCGCACACGCCTAGCATCGTCAATCACACGTCGATGAGAGTGGCCATGCCCGGTACCTTGGACCTTGGAGAGCGTGATGTTGTAGTCGATCGCACGGTTGTAGCCGAAGCAGTTGTTGAGCGCAGGCTCGGTCGCGGTGTGGAAGCAGAGGCCCCAGACGCCAGCCGTGAAGGCCGCCATGGGCGTCGACGGGCTCAGCGCAGACGTCGACCATGTGGGCATGGAGATGGCGACGATCGATAGCAGAGCTGCGAGGTTGCTCAAGAGGAGCGCGACGAGCTCGCGACAGACCGTCGGTGCCATCGCCACGACCTTTCGTGAAAAGATATGATGCGTGCGGCGGTCGTTAAACCGAGGGAGTTGCATTCCGTGACAGAGGGACCATGCGGCAAGGTACGATCAACGTCACCCAACGAGACCTCATGCCCTGCCCAGGCGTCGACCTCGAGTTCCCCGCCCATGATGCGACGACCGCGCTGCAAGGCCTCATTCGCCGCAAGCTCGGCGATGCGTATGTCGACCAGGTAGAGGCGAATGCGATGGCGCATGGACGCCCATGCGTCGACCTAGATTGTCGTTGCACCCATGACAGCGCCGCCCAACAGCCTCGACATGGCCAAGGTCGACATGGACGGCGATCGCGTGCGTGTCTCCGGTACGAGCGCAACGGCCATGGGCTACGCGCTGCACGCGTACCTCAAGCGCGACGTGCACGTCCATGCGGACTGGGACGACCACGCGCTGCCGCTGCCGCCGACGCTGCCACCGGTCACGGACCCGCTCGTGCTCAAGAAGACGTCCAAGGTCACGTACTACTTGAACGTGTGTACGTCGAGCTACTCGATGTGGTCGTGGAGCTGGGCGCAGTGGGAAGCGCACCTCGACTGGATGGCCCTCTGCGGTGCGATACCGGGACCTTCCCCGTCTTCTCAATCCGTGCGATCCTAGGTATCAACATGCCATTGGCGTTTGCGGGCCAAGAAAAGGTCTGGGCCGAGACCTTTAAGAAATTCGGCGTCGACGCTTCTGGCTTGGACGCTTTCTTTGCTGGCGCAGCGTTCCAAGCATGGGGTCGCATGGGCAACATCCAAGGCAGCTGGGGCCCGTACGGCCCGTTGCCACAGCACTTTATCGAGGACCAATACGCGCTCCAAGTGCGCATTCTGCAGCGCATGCGCGACTTCGGCATGCTGCCAGCCCTTCCAGCCTTTGCGGGCCACGTCCCGGCCGTGCTCCGAACGCTTTTCCCGGACGCCGCCATGCGCCAAGCGTCCCAATGGGCGGGGTTCCCCAAAGAGTACACGTGTGTCTACATGCTCGAGCCGACGGACCCGCTCTTCCACGCGATCGGTCGGGCGTTCGTCGCAACGCAGCGCGAAATCTATGGCGAGAACGTCTCGTCGGTCTACCAGACCGACATGTACAACGAGCTTTTGCCGCCATCGGCCGACGCCGCGTACTTGCACGCCTCCGCCAAGGCCGTCATGGACTCGATGCTGGCGTCGGATCCGAACGCGATCTGGCTCATGCAAGGCTGGCTCTTCTACTTTATGCGGACGTTCTGGACCAACGATGCGATTGCAGCGTACCTCGGCGGCGTCCCCAACGACCGCATGATCCTCCTCGACCTCTGGAGGTACATTTGCCCCTCTCGAATGGTCTCTCGATTCTAAAATCTGGTTTTTGTAGTGACGAGTACCCGGTCTGGAGCCGCACCGACAACTACTTTGGAAAAAGTTGGATCTACTGCGTGCTGCACACGTTTGGCGGCAACCTCGGTCTCCACGGGAACCTTCCGCAGCTCGCGAGCGCACCGATCGAGGCGCGTGCCAAGAGCGACGGCCACATGCTCGGCGTCGGTCTGACGATGGAAGGCATTTTTCAAAACTACGTGGTCTACGAACTTACGCTCGACATGGCGTGGAATTCGCAGCCGGTCGAGGTTGAAGCGTGGGTCGCCACGTACGTGCGCCATCGGTACGTCTACTTCTCCCTCCTACGAGACGCCGACCATCGTCCTAGGTACCATGACGAAAGCACGCAGGCACTTGCTGCGTGGCGTGAGCTTTTGCAGTCTCTGTACGCTGGCAAGTCGGCGCCGCGCTGCCTCCTCACGTACCGCCCGCACTGGAAGATGCTCAACAGCGCCAAAGCGGATACGATGGATTGCGTGCGCCGGGCGTACAAGGCCTTGCTGGACGCCGTCGTGGAAGCGCCAGAGCTCGCCCACCTTGATACGTTTACGCACGACCTCGTAGACATCGCCCGGGAGGCGTTGAGTGGCGTCGTAGCGGCCAAGTACCTGGCGTTCCGCGAGCTCTATACGACGCCGACGACGCTGCTCGTGACGCTCGAGACCGCGGCGGCTGGACTTTTGCACCTCATGCACCAGATCGACACGCTTTTAGGAACGACCGCAGCGTTCATGCTCGGTCCGTGGCTGGCGAGTGCCCAAGCCTGCGCGACGCCATCCACAGCAGATTATTTTCGCTACCAGGCGCAGAACCAAGTGACGCGGTGGGGCGAAGGCGACACGTTGAGTGACTACGCGGCCAAGCAGTGGAGCGGACTCATTGCGACGTACTACATTCCGCGCTGGACGCTCTGGCTCGACGGCGCGATCGCAGCCTTTGCGGCCAAGACACCGATGGACGAAGCCGCCGTGCACGCAGCGATTGGTGCGTTTGAAGTGCAGTGGCAGACGGCGCCCATCGACGTTCCGACGTTGCCGAGCGGTGATCCGACGTTGATTGCCGCCGCCCTCTACGCCGAGTACTGCGCCGAGTAATCGCCGTTCGGTCATGTGTGTTGCTAAGAAACGATTCCATCGAGTACGTGCTGCCCAGGCGCTGGCATGCTTCCGTTGCCACTTCGACAGTCGTAGACAGGATAGATCGTGATACCAGCGATGCTATGGCGAGAGCGGCCAGAGAGTAGTGTCCCATGCGATCCTGCATCCTTCTCGGTGGCTTCTGCGCAGGACTTGCTGATAGTACACCGCTTGTCGACCGAGCGCGCCTCAACCGCGCGCACGTTGGCCTGGCTACGACAGATACAGAAACGCGGAAGTGCGCGAGCTTCAAGTGCGCATTTGGTCTCTTACTCGACATTGAGGTACTGCTTGCCGGCTTCGTACGTCGAGATCATAATGGCACACGCCGGCGCGACCTTGGCCACGCGCGCCGAGAGGCCCGTCATGATGCCACCTACACAGCGCATGAGCTCACACTACTGCGGCTCGACGTACCGACGCCCTCGAGGCGGACGATATCGCGCAGCATGGCGTAGATCGACATCGTGGGCCGGGTCTCCATCACGCCTTTGGAGTAGTTTTGAATCTGCTGCTTGGTCTTGATGACGTCAAATGGCTGCGTGAGGACCGTCGAGACAGCGCCCGCCGTCGCGCCAGAGGCGAATGCAATGCCAAGGCGGACTTGGGCCGGCGTGCAATCCGTGTCGGTGGTATTGGCCGCCAGCGTTGTGAACTGCTGCTTGAGGACCTCGAAACTCGACCAGTAAAGCGCGGAGAAGGGCACGTCACGCGCGAGTGTTGGCGCGAGGCCGCGCCAGAGCGAGAAGAAGCCGTCGCTGACGCTGCTGCGCACGACGTAGAGGAACCCGCCGGCGTTCGGACTCGCTTGCATGCGCACGCGGATGAGCTCGAGCGGCGAGACGACCGTGGCCGCAATGCAGCGCGCAATACCGCCGGCAAAGAAGGGCGCAATGGGCGCAATGTCTGGGTAGTCGCGGCGCGCCTTGGACACGAGCATGTCGTACGAGGTAAAGTAAAAGACGGTGGAGGGCACGGCGATGAGGAGCATCGGCGACAAGCCGGCGTACAAGGCCGACAAGCCTTCGGTCCGGACGATGTGCGTCAGCGCATGCGCGGTGCCACGCAGCTTGGGCGTCGACGTCGACGATGACGGCGAGTGCATCGGGCAGTTGGGATGCAGCTCGTGCGCGCCGGCGTCGCTAGGCGATGGAAAGAGATTCGTGCGTGCTTTGGACACCATGTGGTCCATGAGCCCGTTCGAGAACGAGTAGTGCGTGCAGTAGCAGTACGTGGCCTAATAGCGTCGCCGTTGATGTATCGCGCATGGCCATGTCAGGGACCTGTACCGGCGTTGTCTTGACGGTTAGGACCGACGTCGTGGGCACTTGGGCCTGGAGGCGGGTCTTGGCCACCTCGAGCGCTACGCGACGCAGCTCAGCACGAGAAGGATGGAAGCGCATCGGACGTACGGGTGACCTAAAGCGCAGTCAGCATCCACGCATGGACGAGGTACATGATGCATGCTGTACCAGGAGCGCGGTGAGCAGCGCGCCCACCGAGGCGACGGACGACTTCTTCACCGACTCTTCCAGCGACCTCGGGCGATCCATGCCAGCCGGGTTCCCGTCGTTTCGAAAACCTGTGGGGATTGATGTCTGCCATCGAAAACCTTTGATTTCTTATATTGACATGGCCCATGACGTGGCAGCACGAGATGCTCTCGCGATTGAAATCCACCAAACGATGCAAAAATTCGAAAATGAAATTAATAACAGTGGATATTACGTCGATGCGGCACACGTACCCTTGTACTGGGATGCTAGCTCGTCCTGAGCTGAGCGTTGATACATCATGTGACGGACGCAGCAGCCTTGTATCGGCACGACAAAGAGCGCGCCGACTCGACGTACGACGCTCTCGAAACAAAGCGCCCTCAATTTAAATGCATCAGCAGGTGTGTGCCACAAGCGACTTCAGTTTACAGAAGATTCGATGTAATTTGTTGTGGTTTGGGCTCGCCTTGCGCACTGCTCGTTCGTATTCGCGCGCACTTGACACGGCGAGAGTGTTAGGTCGCGAGGGTGGATGATTTGCCTTGTGATTCGCAGACATCCGAGTACAATAATAAAAACCCTTTCCCAGAGGTCTAGAACCATCTCTTGGTCAGCTGGAGGATCTTGGTTCTCATAGTTCTCTCTGTCCCTCTGGAGAATGAACGAGTCACTGCACCCCTTCCTGGGCTTCTATTTTGGACTATTGCACTTGTCCAATTTGATTTATGGTGTCGTTTACGCTGCGTCCGTTTACGCTGCGTCCAACTGTGCGTCGTCTGTTGCCTCTATGACAATAAAGGCACACTTGTAGTTTATGTTGTTATCACGAGAGCGGTTTGGTACTTTGCCTCAACGTTAATTCTCTTTGTACCGGTCCATTGATTTACCGACATATGGCATCCTTGCATTGGGCGTCTCGGGTGCGACCTCAACTTCGATTTGCAAAGCGGCTGGAGCTTGGCGCATGCGCTCGTCGCGGGCAGCCTCCCTTGCCAGTCGCCACTTGCGGAGCAGGCATTTGCGGAACCTCGGAATCGCGCAGTGAAGCGCAACCATCGACCAGAATAGGTAGACCGTATAAAGCGTTACTGGCGACACCACGACCGCGATGATAAAGGCTTTGGCGACTGGGTCAAAGTCGACGGGCTCGGGCGGCGGTGGCGGCCCGCAAGCGCACAACGTGTCTTGGCCTGAAATCGGACACACTTGGTCGGTGCCGCAGCAGCACAACTGCGGTGTTAGCACCGTTCGATGCAAAAACGAGCCGCAGTACTTGCCGCTGGTGCCGGTGGGGCTCGCAGCGGAGCAGTGGCCCGTGGTTGCACATACTTGGCACGTCGATGGATTGACCGTCGTGCTGCTGTTGTTGTTGCTAGCACCCATGACGTACGTGGCAAGGACGAGCCAAAAAAGAAGTCGGACACTGATGGGATATGACGTCGGCATTGTCGTACGAAAGGTAGAATGTGGTCGTGGGGACGAGCGACCGCGTTGCAAAATTCAGCGAAAACGAGACAGTAGCACACTGCAACAACACCGAAACCTGCAAAAACATATGACTATGTGGGTACCACTGTGCGATTCTGATTCGGTGGAGGCTTTCTGTTCCCGGGTTCCCCACCGAGTGGTGGTCCGTAATGTTGATATCACGTCGGATTGTCCAACAAAACAAAAGTGTCATAGTGCAGTAGGTACGTACCGTCTTCATCTCGGAAAGTGCTGCGTCGCTGTCTTGGTGGGGAGGATGCAGCCGATCAAGATGGCTCCGTTGCCGTTAGCTTGGAGGTGCAAAATGTACAACAGGCACAGACAAAATTCGAAGTTCTTTCTTTTGTACCAACGAGCTGCGCAGAGCCACTTCAATGTCGCATCGACACTGGCGATCTGGCGAAAAGAAGCCCCTGATCGAATCTAGTTCGACGGGGCTTCTCGCTGCGTTGGCCTTGTCTGACGCAGGAGGCGAAAAAGCACAGCCCGAGATCTGGCCCGAGATGCTCTTCGTCAGCTTTACGGATTGAGAAACAGCTGGAAGCAAGCTATCTACTGTCCCTTGCGCTACTACTCTATCTACGTCAATAGCTGACCCCGAGCCATGAGCGCCCCTAAATCAGTGCGGTGCGTTACGTGTTTATGACATGTGAGAGAAACTGTGCTCGCGGGTCTGAAAGTACCATGATGTGTTGTTCTGCGCGTTGGGCATCTGGCTCATCGCTGAATATCGCAAGTGTCCTGGGATTCTGCGTTCCAGTTTGCAATTCAATGTCGCGGGTTCCATTCCTCTTCGCCGCTCTCGCCATCGCGGTGTCTGCCATCGCGCCAGTACCAACTACGCCGCACTTTCCGTGCTACGAGTGTGCTACGAACGGCAGCTGCGCCCACGCAAGCTGGACTGGCGACGCTGGCAAATACTGCGGCACGTTTTCCAGCAAGACCACGCTCGTGCCGCAGTGGTGCTGCTGCGCCGTGGCCCAAGCGTGTCCGGCTGCTGGTCGGGATACGCTTTGTGCTTGCGACGGGCCGACGCCGGCGCCCACTAAGCCCCCGGCCGATCTGACGGTGTGGATCTACCTCGGGTTCCTTCTCATGCCAGGCGTCATCTTCATTCTCTACACGCTGTGCCGTCATTGCTTTGGCACGGCCGACGAGACGTGGATTGAACAGCAATATGCACGCATCGAGGCCCATCAAACAGCAGAGGAAGAGCCAGACACTTCTCGTGCCGAAGCCGAAGCTTGCGCATCTGCGGCGAGGGCGGAGGCCAACCGCGAGTACAAAGCTCGTCGGATTGCGCAAGAGAAGGAGGCGCGTCGGCTCGCGCGCGAGGAAGAAGCTCGGCAGCGTGAGTTCGATCAAATTCCGCAAGCCATTTTCGTTTCGACGATTCCCACTTCTGCCAAAGACGCATCCCTCTGAATGCATACCGGTATTGGTCATACCATGCTACTTGTAGTACATTGCATTCCCATTAATCTCCATTTTCATGTGCAAAAGTGTGTTCGTTCGACAATAATGATGTGTTCAGTAGCATGGATAGATGAACAAACGAGAGCGTCTGCATGCTATCAAAGATAATTTCCACTCTGTTTTTTGCTTTGCTCGAGTTTCTTCCGAGTGTTCGTGGTTTCACGATCGCAATCCACGCCACACGTCGCATCTGTGTCCACAAGTGCATGGATCCGGGCCTCAATGATTGGTCATTTCTTCGCAATCAGATCGTAGACGACGGGTCGTGGCGCTCATGACATTCATTTTTTCTGGAAGCTGTTTCTGCGATACGCCGAGGGCAATCAGATCGTAGACGACGGGTCGTGGCGCTCATGACATTCATTTTTTCTGGAAGCTGTTTCTGCGATACGCCGAGGGCCAGAAGTGGTGCGAGCCGCAAGAAACGCTGCCGGCGATGAGCAGACACCTATTGAGTCGAGCTGACGGTCTACACCACGGTGTTTTGGGGGCTAACCGACCCGATTGTCGCGTCCGATGGCTCAAGGTCGCCGAACTTTATGTTGTGCGTCTTACAATCGTCGACATGTATGTCCATTCATATTGTACTCGGTCAGGGTTGGCAGGTACTGGTACTTTGTCTGAAAAGTGGAAAACGCCCAAAATTCACGATGGAAAAATGGAAACCCATAAGTCGGAGCTGCATTCGTTTAAAAGAAAAGTACATAGACGGAATGGCGCTTTTTGTTGAAAGCAAAGGTCCTGTCGAGAAATTGAGCGCGCAGCTCTTCGTGGTGGGTGCTGTCCCAGTCACTAGGCTTTTTAAATAATTGGTGTGTTGATCAACCAGGCGTGCCTGCTACAGTGTGCATAAGTTGGTTGACGTGGATATCGATCCTGTCGTGAGCGCCGCAGGCGCGCTCTTGGCTTGCATTGGGTTGTTGTGCTCCGGAGCGCGCGGAGCGAGTAAAATTTCAATCCACCATTTCCCATCACGAAACTGAGCATCAGAGACCCGAGGAAGGCAGAGGGTGCGAAGTGAGTGGGCAAGGACGCGCGAGTGGCTTTGACCGACTCCAGAAACAACGTTGACCCCAACGTGCTGTGCAATCGTCTCTAATATGTCGCGCAGAAGATCAGCTCGGACAACGAGGATGCTGTTGCAGCTGCCGTCGACCGTACGTTGTTCTTTCTGTGTGACATGCGAAATACCATCATTCTTGCTGACGTGGCAGCATCTGATGCCAGGCACCACAAGATACGCTTTGAGCGCCGAATTGAAATATTCGCCTCTTGGTCAGCGTTGTTGCAAGAGCCACGCGCGATCATCAAGACATAACAGCCAAAGAACGCGGGTTTCGTCAAGCCAACGTGCAACGTGCTCCAGTTTCTGGCTGAATTTGCGCATCGAGCGCATGGCCGCAGTTTGACTTTTACACCATCATGCCGACATGTGATCGCTTGCACCTTCTCGTTGCGTTGTTTCTTGTGTGTACGCATTTCGTTTCTGCTGAAGGCAACAGTAGCAGCACGATGTTCAATTCATCCACGTGCCAAGTGTGTGCGACCACGGGCCACTGCTCCGCCGCAAGTCCGAGTGGCGATGCTGGCAAGTATTGCGGCACCTTTCTGCATCGAGCGGCACTAATACCGCAGCTGTGCTGCTGCGGCATGAACCAATTGTGCCCGATTTCGGGCCAAGACACGCTCTGTGCTTGCGGGTCGCCGCCACCGGCACCGCCAGTGACAGCGCCACCGCTCAGCATCGGCAACGCGTTTGGAGTTGCTCTAGGCGCGGCGCCGGCAGCTTTTCTCGGTTTTTATGTTGTCTGGAATGTGTTTGCTTGTTACAGTCGGATACCACGGTGCCGCAAGAGCCTGGAGCTGCGGCGCGAGCGTGCAACACGAAGAGCAGCTCGCGACGAGCAGGCCCGCCACGCTGCGCAAGAGGCTGGCGACAACGCGGCATGGCAAGCCGAATTGGTCGCCACGTCCGATGTTGCAGCTTCTGGAACGCCGTATACGAGTAAATATGTGTACTAGCCCCTTGAGTGGTACAGATTGGTATAAACTAAAACATCTTAAACGTGCTCAGTAGCGGAGCATCCAAACCTATTTTTTAACAAGCGCCGCCGGCAAGCCTACAGATGAGCCCGTGAAGAAGATAACGGCGATTGGTCCTGTAGTCTGTCACTCCGGATTGCGACGTCGTTGCATCATGCAGATAACGCAAAAACGCTCATCCGTATGGTTGTAACGTCAAGTGCGACGCGTAGCCTCAACTATTAGTCATCGTGCAAGATTCAATCTGCATGCCATTGAATCTCGCACAAGTTCCGAGTCGATCTGCTCGGGTGGTGCTATCGGCGGGTGGTCGCAAACACAGGTGATATTGGGCAAGCAGACCAAGGGGACGTCGGGACAAGCAATGGAATGCCGGTATAAGGGTATCATAGAACACTTCCGTGGCGAAGGGATGGCTGCGAAAATTCAGCAATTGAAATTGCGCCCACCACGGCAAGGAATAAAATACCTACACCTACGAAAACACATGTGTGACCCATGTGACGTCGGTTTTGTCACGTCAAAATGATATCGTCCGTCATGCCGGGGGATCGCCAAGCAAGGATTCGGCATGGAGCCAGGAGTACAGTGTGCAGGCATGCCACATACAACTGACCGATATCGGGTGCTTCTTGATTGAACTTGTGTATATTGAGTAAGTAGCCAAGCAGTAAATATTGCTCAGCTACTTGTTTGCTAAATGTACGTACGTCGTGGCGGGAAACGTTGCCAACGAGCTGCACAGTAGCCACATCAATGCATCGCTCGCGCATCGACACGGACGCGCGTTTTTGATCACATATTAGTTGTTATGACTCTGGCTCGTCGCTGAATATCGCATGTACAAGTGTCCTGGGATTCTGCGTTCCAGTTTGCAATTCAATGTCGCGGGTTCTATTCCTCCTCGCCGCTCTCGCCGTCACGGTGTCTGCCATCGCGCCAGTACCAACAACGCCGCACTTTCCGTGCTACGAGTGTGCTACGAACGGCAGCTGCGCCCACGCAAGCTGGACTGGCGACGCTGGCAAATACTGCGGCACGTTTTCCAGCAAGACCACGCTCGTGCCGCAGTGGTGCTGCTGCGCCGTGGCCCAAGCGTGTCCGGTTGCCGGTCGGGATACGCTGTGTGCTTGCTATGGACCGACACCGGCGCACCCAACACCCGTGGCCGACTCGAGACTTCGGATCTTCTTCGGGCTCCTTTTCGGACCGGGCGTCATCTTCATTCTCTACACGCTGTGCCATCATTGCTTTGGCGCGGCCGATGAGACATGGATAGGACAGCAATATGCTTTTGGTAATCCAACCAGCGCCATTGAGGTCGACGACGCCGACGCCGAAGCTTGTGCTGCCGAAGCCGAAGCTCGCGCATCTGCGGCGGCCGCTGAAACGCGACGGCTCGAGGCCAGCCGCGAATACAACCCGCGTCGGCTTGCGCAAGAAAATAAGGCGCGTCGGGTCGCGCGCGAGGAAGAAGCGCGGCAGCGAGATTTCGATCAATATCCGCAAGCCATCCTGGTCTCGACGATTCCGACTTCCACCAAAGACGTGACCCTAGGATAACGCCCGAGTACGATGTATTTGTATTTGAATTATGAATCATGTACAATGTAAGGTTCTAGTATATCGTTTCTATCAATAAGTTCTAGTCGCTTGGAGGGTAGAGTCCTTGACATCAGATTATGTCTTCCAGTAGAGACGCCGACGCATTGTCGACGACAGGATCGTCAAGCATGGCGCTTCTGTCGCTCCCGAGCCGCCCTACGCGACTTGTCTAGGACATCATTGAAAGTGGTAAAACCGCGCGCGCTTACGTCCACAAAACTGATGCGCCCAGCACGGATCTGTGCTTCAATGATTGGTCAATAAAATGTCTTTGTACATATCGGCTCAGATCTGGCACTAGTGCACAATCGATCGTCCCTCTGGTGTCGAATCTTGCGAGGTCTTTGTCACTGCGGCGTGTGAATATTTTTTGTCGCTTGCTGAATTTTCGCCGCCAGCCTTTTGCCATCATACCATTCCGCATTTTACTATAGCATGCCGCCATTCCATCATTGCTTGGCCCTTCTTCTTGGTCTGGTCACCCTCTTGGTTTGCGCGGACAACAGCAACAGCAGCACGATTCCATCCACGTGCCAAGTGTGTGCGACGACGGGCCACTGCTCCGCTGCAAGTCCGAGTGGCACCAGCGGCAAGTACTGCGGCGCCTTTCTCCATCGAACGGCGCTGACACCGCAGTTGTGCTGCTGCGACGCGGGCCAAGTGTGCCCGATCGTGGGCCAAGATACGCTCTGTGCTTGCGGGCCGCAGCCGCCGGCACCACAATATCCGGACGAGCCACTCAGCATTACAGCCCTTTGCCTTACCGGTGTCTTTGGGGGACCAGCGGTCTTGTTTACCGTCCATGGCCTCTGGTCGTGCTTCGCGGGGAACTTTTTCATTCCGAGGTGCTACAAGAGCCTGCAACTACGGCGTGAACGTCGCGCACGAGAATGGGCCGCACGAGCGGCCGCCCGCGAAGAGCAAGCACGTCAAGCCACAAGCGGCGCGCCATGGCACAGTGAAGCGGTCGATATGCCCGAGGCAAGAACGCCGTATACTTCAAGTGTGCGTAAATATGTAGTCTAGCTTGGTCGTGCCAAGTTTGCAGACCCATCTGTAGAGTATTATTGTCAAGGCCATACACCCTTGTTTTTATGGCCTTGATATTGTCAAGTTTATCAAATGACGTTTCAAAATCATCTATCCATATGACCTTGGCGCGTATGTGTGACGACACTGAGAGGCAGGTGTTGTTGTTGAAATGGGTTGTCTGTTACAATAGATAAAACTATGCGAGATAAATTGTCGGACTTTCTTTGTTGTGTACACTCGGTTGAGGAACTTGATCTGGGCAGGCGGAGACAGGAGCGCGATCCGCGGGACAAGGTGCTGGTGCGGCAACTCGTGTTGGGCGAGGAGCCGTAGAAGCCGACGTAGCGCAGGCTGCTCGGGCTCTTGAACGAGGCTGTGGTGCAAGTGAAGTTGAGCGACCCGCGCCGCCTTGACGGCAATCGTCCAGACACTGAGAGGCAGTCCAGAGTAAGAAGTAGAAGAAGGAGGATGATAAATGTGTATGGATGGACGACCGAGTGGCATAGACTCATCAGTAAGAAATATAGAGCGACAACGTGCTGCGACCTCCAGAAAAAGCGAGGACAACGACAAGGCACCAGGCAGTTGTTTCGACCCATGTCCTTTCCGTCCTGCGTGACATGCATAAGACCATCATTCTTTCTTCTACGTGGCAACATTGCCAGCGATTGTAGAAGATTCAATTCGAGGGCGATGAAATCTTGGCCCATTGGCGCAGCTTTTTCAACACGAGATCCAAGCACAACAAGGCAAACTCTAGCATTAAAAAGTACGACTACCAACTTTAATTTCTACGTGCCGGCTCGATGCGCAAGTGCTCTTCAACGTAGAGGTGCGATCGATGTCATACCAACCCAGTGTGAATAAAATGAAAACTACAGTAGTACTCGTAAATCGTTGGCACTAGCAAATGATACTCTGCATAAGTCGTCAATTAGCAGCATCTTATTTCGGATACACGGGCGTTGCGTGCGCAACGTAGCGCGCGCCAGGCACCTCGGTGACGACCACGAGCTGCCGCGCAGCCGCTTCTCGGCGTTCCCGCGCAGCTTGTACATCGGCTTCGCGCTGACGAGCGGCCTTCTGACGCTTACGCTCCTCACGGCGCTCTCGACAACGTGTAATGCACGAGTCGACTGCGTTCCAGAGCAGAAACCCAGGGTAAAAGAGGAGAAATGGCGCCACCGTCGACGCGAGGATATAGACCCAGCTGTAGTCGTACGAAGGCACGTAGGGCGCGGCCGACTGGACGCTCGCGCACGCACACACCGTGTCGTGGCCAGGCGTTGGGCAAATCTGCGCGACGGAGCAGCAACACGGCCCCAAAGCCTTCACCGTTGTGTTGAGAAAGAAGACGCCGCAGTACTTGCCGGCGTCGCCGACCGAGCCGGCCGTGAGGCACCGGCCAGTGTTGGCACACTCTTGGCAGGCAGAGAGAGTCGGTGTCGGTGTCGTCGTGCTCCCAGCCGCGCTGTCGACGGTGGTAAGAAGCACCAGAAGTGTTAAAAGGAGGCGGTGCGTTGTCATGGTTGCGGTGTTTTGAAAAGTGACCGTGTTTGGATCGCAACCGACCGGAGAACAACATGCCAGCCCATCATTCCTCGCAATCCGATTCAGCAAGACAACACCCAAATCGTCTTTCCTCGCATGCTCGAGATGCATGTCTCGTTCTGTAAGCTACTCACCGCGCGCACCGTCATTGTGTAGCACGCAACCCACCTGCAGAGTAGCCGTATGATCTCGCCCCCCAGCTGTTCGTTTCAAAAACCTCTGGGTGCTGTACCAGAGGTGTGGGACAGGTTGTTGTTGTTGAAGTGGGTCTACTATTACTATAGATACCGGTAAGACTATGCTAAATAAAATTGTCGGACTTTCTTCGTTGTGTGTAACGTTACTCGGTTGAGGGACTTGATTTAGGCAGGCGGAGGCAGGAGCGCGAAATTGGTGTGCGACAGGTTTTGTCAAGGGAATAACCTTGGGTTTTGTGCACGTACTGGTAGGCGAGTCTTCTTGCCTTGACAAGACAGGCGTGGTGGGCACGACTGCACTCTAGCTATTTTGCACACGCGGGTACGATTCCGTATTGACGCCTTGAAGACCTCGGATGACGATGCACAAAATGACATTTTTCTTACGTGGACTATCGCCGTGGGATACCGCTAAATCTGGCGTCGCGTTCTCGAATGGATTGTCGCGGGTAACTGCCGTTGGGTCCTCGAGCCACCGCTGGCACGGCTCCCCTCTACATCGATCGACAGCGTCAACGGCGAGCTCGTACACTAGAGTGGAAGACGAGCCCGAGTCCACAATACAGTCTGCGATTTGTGTCAAATCCACATTGTCCTTAAATACAGTTGTCGAATCGCCCGTTATTACTTTAAAGTCCCAGCATACACGGGCGTCGCTTGGGCAACGTACATGGCGGTGGGCGCGGGAATCTCGGAGACAATCACGGCTTGTGGCATCGCGGCCTCGACCCGCTCCTGCGCGGCTTGTTCGTCGCGTTCGCGCTGCCGCTTCGCTCGCTCGCGTTGCTTGGCAGCCTTGCGCTGCCGGCGCTCCGCGCAACAATCGTTGCACCCGTCGATGCATCCGACGCCGCAGCAGCACAGACCATATAGGACGAAGGGGCCAACCGTCGACGCGACGATGATGACCCACGTGTAGTTGTACGAGGCCTTCTCCGGGGGCGCCGTCTTGACGCCGGCGCAGTCACACACGGCGCCTTGGCTCGGCGTCGGACAAATCTGTGCGACCGAGCAGCAGCAAGCTTGGGATGTCAGCGCGACCTTGTCGAGAAGGATGCCGCAGTACTTGCCAGCATCACCGTTGGGACCCGCGTTGAGGCACCGACCCGTCGAGGCACACACTTGGCAAACCGACACCATGGGTGCTGTGGTTGTGGCAGCATCCACAGCCGAGATGAAGAGAAGGAGTAGCAGAAGCAGTGGACGCATGATCGAGAGAATTGAAAAGTGAAATGTGGGGGATTGGGCGGCGACAACGTAGCAGACCATCATTCCTCGCTTGCGATTCGGCCGACCGCCACCTGGCAACGTCCAGCAACGAATCAAAAGCGTTGTTGTTGTTCAAGTACCGTACCAGGCGCAGCCAGGAGCGCGATCCGCGGGACAAGGCACTCGTGTTGGGCGAGGAACCGGAGTAGCCGACGAAGAGCAGGCTGCTCGGACTCTTGAACGAGACTGTGGTGCAAGTGCAGTTGGGACACGCGCCGCCTTGACGGCAATCGTCCATGGACTTGGGAGTGCTAGGTCGGCGCGAAAGACGCGATCGTTCCGGACTCGCCAGACGTGGAACCATATGCAGGCGCGGGCCAGAGGTAGCGGAACGCGGCTTGGTGCATATTGAAGGCCACTCTAAAGCGACGTTCCAGCTACTAGAGAAGAGACGCTTCGATGCGCAAAGGAAGACGCCGCCTGTGATCGGCAGGGGTCGCTTTTTGGAAACGACACGCAGAAGCACGCACGCAAGATAGCAAACGAGGGAGAGACGTTGACGGTCAAGGATGCGTCGGGCGTCGCTGAACAAGCGTCAAGGAAAAAATAAACGAACGTGTTATCTTCGCTGTTACAAAGACGTCGCATGCGTCAAGACGAGCAATAATCAATCTCGGATTTCCATGATCGAATGTCACAGGTGCTCCACCCACAACGTATGGTTTTTCAGAGGTTTTTCTGGTGTACGTTGGCTCACTCTCTTGAATCAGCGGGTCAAAATAGACTGAAAGTACTTTGAAAGCCTTCACCTCTCGTCTATTGTCCGCATTGAGCGCTCTTGCTCTTGCGCTGGCAGGAAGCAGCACCCTTGCCGAGACGTGCTTAAATCCTCTCTATTAAAAACCCATGTACATGTAGCGACCCTGTACACCTGTACACCATGTCGCTTAGACCATCACTCCGCCACAATCCGACACACACAAGCGTTCGAGTTTGCACTTTCTATTTGGCGTCGACCATGCAGCGCCTTCTGCGTCCGACCTCGCGCATGGTGCGACATCGCCGCTTCCCGCAGCCGCTCCTTGGCGTGCGTCGATTCACCTCCCGGCACACGGACCCTGCGCCCGACTTGGACCCGGCATCAATGCTGGGCATCGCCGCCGTCGGTGTCGCGGTCTGCGGCGTCATCTACTACTACGACACCAAGGATGCCAACGCGTTCAAGATGATTCCCATCACCGACGCCTCCCAGTGCCACAAGAAGAGCCATGCCGACCGTGGGCCGCAGTCGGTGCCCAACAGCTCATTCCAGCGTGTGTCGCAGTCCAAGCGCCTATCACTGAGCGTCCTTGAAGCCAGCGGGGTGCGCCATGCATCGCTCGGCGGCGTCACGTGGATCGAAGACGACGGGATGCACTACTACGAGCAGTCGTACTGGAACGACGAGGCCGCGTACACCATGTCCAGCGCGGACGCCGAAGCGCTGCGCAATGCCACGTACGAGCTCCACGCCATGTGTCTCCAGGTCGTCGACCGTGTCGTCGCCTCGGACGCACTCCTTGACGTGTTTGAGATTCCGCCCAACTTGCGCCAAGCGGTGCGCGACTCGTGGGCGCGGCGGGACCCGGACCTCCTCGGGCGCTTTGACTTTAGCTGGGACGGCACCGGGCATCCCAAGCTCCTCGAGTACAACGCCGACACACCAACCGTGCTCGTCGAGTCGGGTGTCGGGCAGCGCTTGTGGCAGTCGCACGTGCTCGCCGACTCGAAGAAGCTATGGTGCTTTAACGAGATCGAAGACCGGCTCAAGGCGGCGTGGCCCAAGGTCGTGCCCAAAGGCGCCCACGTGCATCTCGCCGGCACCAGCGCGACGATCGAAGAGATCGAGCACGTCGCGTTCATGCACCGCATGGCTCTCATCGCGGGTCTCGATGCGGACGTCGTTCCCATCAGCAGCGTCTCGGTTGATGGCGATGGCCACCTCGTCGATGGAACGCACGCCCGCATCGATTACCTCTGGAAGCTGTACCCGTACGAGTGGCTCGCATCCGAGGCCTTGGGCGACGGCCTCTTTGTCGATACGCCGGGCGAAAACAAACGGCTGCTCGAGCCGGCGTGGAAGCTCGTCCTTGGCAACAAGGCGCTGCTCGCACTCCTCTGGGAGATGTTTCCAAACCATCCCAACTTGCTTCCTGCCACGTACGACCGCGACGATATCCTTAATGGGATGATTGCTGGCAACATTGTCGCCAAGCCAAAGTACGGCCGGGAGGGCGCCGGCATTCTCTACTCGGGGCGCTACAAGTCCAAAGCCGAGTTCGTCGATGCGGCCGACAAGGCATCGACGCTGCCGACCGAGGGCGTTGATGGCGTCGTCGAGCTCTACATGGGTGCCCCGGTGTACCAGGCGTACCACGCCACGTCAAAATTCGCGCTGCGCAATATCGTACTCGGGTCATGGGTCGTCCATGGCGCCCCCGCGGGCTTCTGCGTCCGCGAAGACATTGGCGCGACAACGAACGACAATAGCTGCTTTGTACCGCACTGCATCGACGGCCCGCGCTGCTCGAAAGGATCGTTGCCCGAACTTTCGCCGGCGCAGAAGATGCTGTTGCATAGCTTGTACCAGGACGACGCGAACGCGGTCCGAAAGGACGCGAGCTGGAGCACCTACTTGAGCACGCCCTTCTTTCGATCGTCGACGGCGGCCTCGACAGGCGCCACGGCGGCGCGACCACCGCCACCGGCGACGACGCCGGAGAACGCCAAGGCTCAGGCGTATGCCGCCAAGCGCGGGCGATCGACGCGGTATCCCCGCAGCGGTACCGCCGGTGGCGTCTCGCGCGAGACGGTGCACAGGGCATGCGCGGCGGCGCGCGTGCGTCGTCCTAAAAAACGACAAACAAATACAACGAGATCGACACATACGAGCTGCTTCTGTGCATAAATCACGTGGGAACTCGAAGGAGCGTGGCATCCACTCCGGCCAAGCTGAATGCAGTGGGCTTGGGTTTTCGAGGTCGCATCAAGGCAGAGGCGGTATGCCTATGCGGCGGGCGACGAGGTTGTTGTCGTTGTTGGCAGTCGCCAGTCTGGCATGGCTCAAGCGACGCAAAGTGCAATCTGGTTCAAAGATCCTTTGATCCAGGGACGTCCACAGACGGCGCTGCCACGTCATGCTTGGCATCGATCCCGAACGTTCCCTTCGTGGCTTGGTGCCAAGTGGGCACGGTAACCCCGCCATCTGTTGCGGCCTGTCCAGCCCCGTATCCGGTCATTTTCAAAATGGCCAGCTACCTCCCGACCGTCGACGACTGGGCGCCGGTCGCCGCGTCGATCGCTGCCACCACGACGCCCGTGCTTGTGCTCTTTGGTGCGTCGTGGTGCGCGGCCAAGACCAAGAAGGTGGTGTCGGCCAACGAAGCGCTCCTCGCCGGCCGCAGCGACATCGTACGTCGCCATCATCATCTCTTCTACGCAATGCGCATGCATCGAATCGTAGGCGGCGTACTACGTCAACGTCGATGGCATGGACGACGACGACGTCATGGACCTTGGCGTCGGCGAACTCCCGTACTTCCAGGTGTACACCAACGGCGCCCTGCTCGATGGGTTCAAGGCGCTCGACGACGACGCGGTGCGCTTCCTCGTGCCACCAGCATTTACTCAAGTACGATATTGCACTAGACGTCCAAGAAGGTGGTGCGCCACGTGGGCTGGAACGGCGCCGTGGGCTCCGTCGACGCGGCGGACGCGCTCCCGGCCGTCGACTACGACGCGCTCTTCGCCGTCGTCGACAAGTACACAGCGGGCGAGACCGACTTTATTGCCAACACGGCCAACGTCGCCGCCGCGATCTGGCACGCGTTTTACGCCGCCGGGCGCCCGATCAACTGGTCGGGTTTTTACTTTAACCGACCGACGAGCGCGGCGCCAAGTGCGTCGCCGACGGACCTCGACGCGCGGCTGCTCGTGCTCGGTCCATTCCAGGGCAAACCCGCGTGCAAGCGCATTAAATTTCACAGTGGCGTGTGCGGCGCGGCTGCCTCGACCCGTGTGATCCAGGTACTTACTCGATATCGATTGGGCGACTGAGCGCTTTAACTAGCGCATTCCCGACGTACACCTCTTCCCGGGCCACATTGCTTGCGACGACGCGTCGCAGTCGGAGATTGTGCTGCCGATTCTGCTGAACGGCGTCGTCCTTGGCGTCCTCGACCTGGATTGTCCGCACAAGAATGGGTTCCAGCAAGCAGATGCCGACGGTCTCGGGCGCATCCTCGACCTCTTCGTGCCCCGGACCGAGTGGGTGTCGTTGACGCTGCCCATTACTGCGTTTGTCCTGTGCAAGGTGTGTGTGGGTGGTGCGGCTCTGGTGCTCTGTGACTGCGTGCCTCGAGCACATATCGAGGTTTGTGAGGGCGAGGCCAGCCGATACCTCTTTCAAAGGCTCTTGCTGGAATGGGTACCGTGTGCATGGGTCAAGCCAAGAAGGCTACAACAACGATATTAGTTGGATAGAGCTCGATGCGATGCGTGATAAGAGAGTTGGATGTCGGGACAAAGGACCGCCAACTCGCGACGACATGTAGACTGCATCTTCCTTGCACCAGTGTCTACCGTCTCTGACTTTTTTAGATTCGCATACGCCTGGTCCTCGACGCTGGCGTCGTTCCGGCACCGGTCGTGTCCTCCAAGGGAAATCAATCATTGTATTTCCTTGGTGGCCTCGTGCTCGTTGAAATACAATACAAGTCTTTAATGACACGTTCATCTCGCTCTAGTACATTTCCAATCCATAGTTTATATACACCTATCCTATTCCAATCTGACGGCACTACATAACGTCTACGACGACGCGGCGACGAGCGTGCGGAGCGTCTGGAAGATCTTGATCGGCGCCGAGAGACCGACCATCTTGATGACCGGGCCCGGCATGTAGCCGCCAAAGTCCACGTTCGCAAACATCGTCACGTCGCTGTGGCCGTCGTCGCGGCGCGAGACAACGTAGCCCGAGAGCAGCGCTTGCGCGCGCACGAAGCCGGACTTGGTCGGGCACTTGTCGGTCGTGACGGACCGCGACGCAATGATGAGACGACCGTCCGGCAGCGTCTGCACCGTCGTCGTCGAGCAAAAGTCGCGGGGCGCCACAAAGAGAACGCCAATCGTCTCGAAGTACCGGAGCTCCATGGTCGGGCTCAGCTGCTCGACGATTCTCGCCGACTTGGTAAACTTGTCGAGCTGCGGCGCTGCGCTAATGTCGGTGAGAAGCGCGACAACGCGCTCTGGCGACGCGTGGACGATGCCCGTGGTCCGCATCGCCGGCCACTCGCAGTTCTTGATATCGCCGTGGTGCACCTGGATGCCGTCTTTGGACGGGCCCACGTGCCAGCCGCCGAGGCCATAGCCGTTGATGCGCTCGAGCAGCATGTTGATCGACGTCTTCTCGTAGCCCGATGTGTCGGCCAGGACAGCACTGAGGTCGACGACAGGGTGCAGCCACTCGGGCGCAATGATCTCGGGCTTGTGGAGGTCGGTCGTCGGCTTGGTCATCTCGGTCTCGGCGCTGGTTGTAGAGTGAGGCGCGTGTTGCAAATCAAATCCACCGGATAACGTGGCAATTACCGGATACCACGTGGAACCACTCGCCGCCGCTCTACGCACCGTGGTATTAGTCACGCGGTGTCCACGAATTAGCCTAATTCCTACGTTAAAACGTCGCACAGGAACGAATTACATCGCTCAGCGTACGAATTAGCAATGATTGCGGCGGCCACAAACTTTGTCATCGGCACATGGCAACAGAAGAGATCGCCCGCCTGGATTACTGGGCCGTCTGCGTTCAGAACGCGCAAGTGTCCTACGCCCAGTGGCCCACGTGCCACGGGCAGTGGCCCAAATATTTGCCGCCAAAATTTTTTTCGAGTAAATTGAGCAAACGAAGTCCAAGTTGACGTCGGGAAGCCAACACGTTTTGGCTCTTTCGGTAATCGGTCGGTGGATGGCTACCTTCCCACCCAGGTGCGCTTGCTGTACGATGACGGCAGGCGATGCATTTCAGCAGTATTTCGGCGGCAACGACGTTAGGACAGCGTTACCAACAGCCTTTACTACTCGCCTCGACCGCCATGCGTCCATGTCCCGTGTTGAGTGAGCAAATCCTTGCGTGGTTATTCACCTTCCGCTACAGCATATGCATTGTTTAAAATACACAGCACGAAATCAAGTGTAATCGGCCTCTAACCAAAGAGCGCGGTCTCGGTGATACAAGCCAAGATCGAATCTCTCTCTGGATATCGCGTCGACGATGGATGTCAAAATCTGTGTTGGCCCGTATCGTATCCGGTATATCCGGATAAAGGCTACCAATCACAGCCCGCAGCCACTTTGCCGTTGGCGAAAGGCGATGGACATGATGATGACGCTCGGCGCGGCCGCGTGGCGGGACCCAACCGTCGCCAGCAGTATCTTGCGCGGTATCTGGTTCACACTAAGTGCTACAGCGCTCGCGAGCCTGGTCCTCCCGCCGCTCCATGCGCTCTCGTTGCACGGCCGCTTTGCCAGCAACGCATCCTCGTGGCAGGTCGCATGATGCATCCAGCCGAGGGCCTCGCTCACGCTGCAATGGCGTAGGTGTGGAAGGGCTACTTTGGCGTCTTTTACCTGATCGGTTGGCTCTGGAACGGACTCGTTCTCGTGTGCGCGTGGCACCCGCCGATGCCCATCGCGCCCTTCTTGCCGCCGCATCTCTCGGCGATCCATCCCTCGACGCTGCTCGTGCTCGTCGTGCTGCAATGCCACCTCTTTCGCCGCATGATGGAGAGCTGGGCCATGACCGACTTTGGCGCGTCCACGATGCATGCGTCGGGTACGTGTTCGATGCTCACTCGCGGGATCTCATGCGTTCTAGCGTGCCTTCTTGGCGTCGGGCACTACATCCTTGTGTCGCTCTCGGTCGTCTTGGACCCGGCTGCGTCCGAGGATACGACCTCGATCGCCTCTGTGCTCGCGGGCCTTGGCCTCTTTCTCTATGCGAGTGTGCACCAGATGCGCTGCAATGGCCTCTTGACGAACCTCAAGCGCGCGAGCCACGGCGCGTATGGGCTGCCGTTTGGCGACTGGTTTGAACACACGTGGAGTCCGCTCTATTTGGCGGAAATTCTCATCTACGCGTCGTTTGTGCTGCTGACGAGCGGCCGCCACATGAACCTCGTCGCCCTCGCGGCCTGGGTCGGCGTCAACCAAGCCATTAGCGCGGCCCGCGCCGCTGCGTGGTACGAAGCGACGTTCCCGGTGGCCAAGACACTGCATCGCGCGACCTTGCTGCCGCGTCTGTGGTAGTCACTGGTCTACCCTCGTTGTACAGGTGTAAATATCAAATTCCAGCCCATGGATCCACTATCCACTCTGCCACTCTGCCACCTCTCTCAACTCGCCAGCGACTATCCACTCTATCCAACTTTTCTGTTCTATCCAGCGACTATCCACACACGGGGTCCTGCTGGATAAACATCTGGATGGTCCCAACGTAAGGCCGATGGTTTGGTGCAATTGCATCAAGGAGTCTTGAGGCACCAGGTAAGGTCGTCGCCACCTCGTTGTGAACATGCACATGTCAGTGTTCTTGCTGTTGATGCTGATGTTGATGATATATTGCCAAAGCTACCGACGGTTGCTTAGTAGAGGAAGATGCTGGGCTTGCCGGGGGCCGCGACTTCCATCTTCTTGGCGTCCGCGCCCTCGATCGAGGCCGCGCCGTCGACGTAGTGGAAGCTCATGTCCTCGAGCTCGAGCGACTTGACAATGTAGACCTTGTTGGTCTCGAGCACGGCCTTTTGGTCGAACGGCATCTTGAGCTCGAGCGCATCCATGCCACGCAGCTCGGCGTCGGCCTTGACAAAGGCCGCGAACTGCATGACGTTCTTCGTGAGCTTCTTGAGGTCGGCGTCGCCGGCCACGAGCGTCTTGAGCTGGCCCATAAAGTCCTTCGGGAACGACTTGCCGTCGATGAGCGTCGCCATGAAGCGAAGCACGGTCTGCTGCCAGAGCGGGAAGGCCTCGGCAAGGTACACGTGCGCGTGCGTCGGCTTGGTCACCGGCGCCTTCACGCCCTTCTTGGCGACCGCGCCCTTGAGCACGGCGTCGCGAAAGTGCTTGAGCGACTTGGTCAAGAAATCGCCGGCGCGGAGGAGGTTGTAGTCGAGCGGCGCCGCCGTCGGCCAGAGCGCGTCGGCGACAAAGCCCTGCTTGCCGAGGAGCGTCCAGAAGTGCTCGCAAATGTGCGGGCAAATTGGCGCGAGCATGATCGTCTGCGCCTCGATGAAGCGGAAGATGACGTCCTTATGGACGCCAAAGCCGCCGCGCGTGCACACGTCGCGGTACGAGTCCCGGGCGATCTGGAGCTCGAAGAAGCTGGCCTGGAAGCCGTCGCGCCACTGCATCGCATCAAAGTGCGATGCCGTCCGGGTGATGATGTCGTCCATCTGCGCGTTAAACATGCGGTCGTTGAAGTTGAGCGCGCCGACACGCAGCGTCGCCTTCTCGTCGATCGTCTTCTTGATCCACTCTTCCTCGGTCGTGAGGCGGAGGATCGCCATGTTGGCCGTGTCGCGCGAAAAGTTGGCGTCGTCCATCGAGTCGCCAGCGTCCGCGCACGCGAAGCGCGTCGCATCCGCACCGTACTCGGTGAAGCAGTACTCGAGCGTGAGGAAGTTGCCGAGCGACTTGGACATCTTCTGCGCGTCGACCTGGACGTGGCCGTTGGTGAAGAACGAGCGCGGCCACTTCGACGGGTCGTCGCGCCAAATCTCGGCGTGGTTGTACAAGCACATGGTGAGGTGGTTGCGGATGAGATCCTTGCCCGAGACGCGGAGGTCGACCGGGTACCAGTACTCAAACTCGGTCTGGAGCTCGGTCCAGACGGCGAGCGAAATCTTGGACGATGTCGGGGCCGGGCCCTTGAGGAAGATAAAGTCAAAGACCTCCTTGGTCAAGTCGGCGGCCGTAATGCCGTGCGGGCCGCCCACCGACCCGTCGACGCTCGTCTGCAGGTGGTGCGCGATCGTATAGTACGCCATGTAGATCGTCGAGTCCGAGAGCGACTCGATGACAAACTCCGTGTCCCACGGCAGCTTGGTGCCGAGCCCAAACTGGCGGCACGGCGCCCACTCCTTGAGCCACTCGAGCGTCGACCGGTACTCGCCGAGCGAAATCGGGTTGTACGTCTCGAACGCCGCCGGGTTCTCAATGTGCGCCGAGACGCGCTGCTTCCAGTCTTCCGTGCCGTAGAGGAGGTACCACTGGTCAAGATGCGCGACGACGCACTCGTCGCCCGTGCGCGACATGACCGTCGACTCGGGTTCCCAGTACGGGATCGCTTGGTGAGCGTCAAAGAGCTCTTGGCGGCAGCCGGCCTTGGCGTCGCACACCTTCTGGCCCTTCTGGCTACCGACAAGCATGACGCCTTCGTAGAACCCCTTGAGGTACACGAGCTCCTTGGCCTTGGCGAGCTTCTCCTTGTCGTTCTGCGACTGGATCTTGAGGTCGTCGCAGAGCTTGACCGCGGCCGTCTCGCCGTAGCCAGGAATGTCAATGATCGGAACCACCTCGTACGGCAGCACCATGTGGTCGGCGATGAGGTACTTTTCACGCATGGCCGGCTTCTGCTTGAGGTCGCGGAGCGCGGCGTAGTCATCGGGCGAGTCGGACGGCACCGACGTGACGACGCCCGTGCCCTTGCCCATTGAGATGGTGAGCAGCGGCAGCGTGTACACCGTCTTGAAGGTCGCCTGGGGCGCCGAGAGCGGCAGGCCGAGGAGGTCCCAGCCCTTGAGCTCGAGGAGGCACTCCTCCTTGCCCCACACGCGCGAGTACTCTTGGTGCGCGAGGTTGCGCGCGGCGCGACGGCTGATGATAAACACGTCGGTCTCGTTGATGCGGTACGCGCCATAGTCGCCGTCGGGCAAGACAAAGCAGTTGGTCTGGCCGTACATGGTCTCCGGGCGGAGCGTCGCGGGCGCGAGGTAGACCTTGAATCCCGAGAGCGACGCGAGCTTGGCCGGCAGCGGCGCCTGCACTTCGAGCTTCACGAGCGTGTACTCTTGCGGGCCGACGCCTTCGCCCGACTGGCGATCGTGGTCCGCGCACGTCTGCTTGTCGATCGGCGAGTAGACGTTCGGACGCTTGCCGCGGCTGACGCGCGACCGCTCCTTGAGCGTGTTGAGCTGCCAGCGGATGAACGCGTCGTAGAACGGGTTGACGTCGGTCGTGATAAACGACCGGCGCCAATCGGTCGCGAGGCCAAAGCGGCGCAGATGCTCCTCGCCGTACGGCGGGAAGTACTGGAGCCAAAAGTTCGGGTCCTTGAACTTGGGGATCATCTCGAGGTCCGGGATCATCTTGGAGAGAATGTCGTACTGGCGCACGAGGCCGCCCGTCTTGGCGACCGTCTTGGACTTCTTGCCCTTGGCCTTGGACTCGTTCGTGACGGGCGCGCTCGACGGCGCAGGCACGGTCTCGGGCGCATCGACCGGGAACTGCGGCGGGAAGCCAAACTCGTCGAGCTCGGCCTTGAGCTTGTTGGCCGCGGCCTGGATCGGCATGCCCGTGCAGTGGAAGCCGAACGGGAACATGGCGTTCTCGCCCTTAAGGCGGTGGTACCGCGTCGCAAACTCGGCCTTGGTGATCGTAAAGCCATGACCAATGTGCATCATGCCATTCATGTACGGGAACGGGAAGGTCGCGAGGAACTTCTTCTTCGAGTGGTCGACCTTGCGCTCAAAACCTTGGCGTCCTCCCAGCGCTTCTGCACCTCTTCCTCGATCGTCCGCAGGTGGTTGCGCCGGCCAAACTTCTTCTCCGCAGAGTCCGCGAGCTCCATTGCGCTCAGCTTGGTACTCACCTTGTCGGCCATGGAATTTCACGAATGACCACCCGATTGCGAAATCCCATGTCCGGATAAACTATGCGGATCATGCAGGATCGGAAACTTTTTGTGGTCGGCCCAAGCGACCATCGGTGCGAATGGAGGTCGGGCCGGCGCCAGCTGCACGTGGCTGCGTGCACGTGGCCAACAGTCAAGGGCGCATGGCCGCCAGCGACGCCAGCCTTCCAGCGACGCCTGTTCGCCGAGCTGGACGCTGGAGCCAATGTCCACAGCAAGCAGCCAGCGCGCCGCCGCCGATCGCCCGTCCTATTGGCATGGTGATACGGGTCGCTCGGCAAACTCGGCTAGGTAGGTATGGGCCGTTGTGCAATGACCAACCGTTGGGCCATCGGCCCGCTTGGACCACGCAGCTACATACGGCGACAGCCGGTCGCGTCTGCGCAAAATGCCAGTGCATGGTGCGGCGACCACGGAAGCTAACCAGGTGGCCTCTGCCGCTAGCGACCCTTGGCGAGACGACATTCCGCGTCAATCACGTTAACCAGGTGGCCTCTGCCGCTAGCGATCCTTGGCGAGACGGCGTTCCATGCCACCCCACAACACGCTACATGCCGCCCTACAGAACGCTACAGGTACAGGGGCCAAAGGGCGAGCGGGGTACAGCGACCGACATGTGCGCACCAGCGGCAGCAGTCAATGACCGCAACCAGTCGCGGTCATACATAGCAGACGTCGTACGAGACTGATGGACGCTAGGGCGACGGATGCGCAAACGCTGGGATGGGTCGAGCAACTTCAACCTCGCGATGATTGGCTGAAATACTAATTTTCCAGCCAATCATGATAGCGCAACAGTTTCACACGAGTCGTTTCGGGCCGGCCCTTGGTTGTTCTTGTTGGGTTGTTTTCGGGACCGGAGCATGCTGGAGCTGGCGCAGACGATCTTCGCGGCCGCCAAGTCGAACGACCTCGGGACGGTCCAGCGCCTCATCGAGGTACGTACGGTCGCCATGGAGGCCATCGCTGATGGCAGCCACAGGAGCTCTCGGATGACGACAAGGCGTTTGACGTCAACCGCCTCGTCGACGAGAGCACCGAGAGCACGCTCATGCACATCGCGTGCTCCAATGGCAACTTAAATGCGTGCAAGTACCTCTTCATGTCGGGCATGTACCTCAACGAGCCCAACAAGCGGGTACGTCATGCGAATCGCATGCCTACATTGCATGGACGCCGCCTGCATAGGGCCACACGCCGCTCTTCTATGCCGCCGACTGCGGCAACTTGCCGCTCGTCAAGTGGATGGTCTCGAACGGCGCCGACATCGATACCGACTACAGTGGCAAGGCGCACATGACCAAACCCGCCGACGACCGCTGCTACGACATTGCCTTTACGCCACTTCAAGCCGCGTGCGTCAAGGGCCACGTCGACATTGTCGACTTTCTAGTCGAGTGCAACGCCGACCTCGCGGGCTCGGCAATCAACGGCGTCACGCCGCTCCACTACGCATGCCACCAGGTCCATCCAGCACGCTTCCTCTATTCCAGAGCTCATTGTTCATATCCATTAGAGTCGCAAAGACGTGGCCAAGGTGCTGCTGGATGCTGGCGCCGACCTCCACGCTGCCGATGGCTTGGGCGTCACGCCCATGGACCTCGCGTCTGGGCACACGCAAGCGTTCCTCTCGACGTATGCGGAGCACGGGACGTTCGAAGCCAACGACGACGGGCTCGACACGAGCGGCGGTGGCGACGATAACGACGACGCTGCGTCGGACGACGAGACCCGCAAGCCCATTTCCGAAGCGATTGCCAAGGCGTTTGGCGCCGCAACTGCGCGCCAGCTCGGCTCGAGCGAGTGGAAGACGCGGCAGCAAGGCGTGGCCGACGTCGTCCTTGCCGTCCAACAGCAGCAGAAGCCGAGCGCGGCCATCTTTGATGCGGCCTGCGACGTCCTGCTTCTCGCCGCGCGGGACTCGGTCGTGCAAGTCTTTTCGAGCTCGATGCCGCTGCTCAAAGCCGCCTTCAACAGCGTCCTCGCCACATCGGCCTTTCACTCGGTCGCGTACCACGATGCGCATCCGCGCATCGCCGAGATCATCGATGTCCTCCTGACGCGCGCGGCCGGGGCTCATGAGCGCGAGGCGAGCGAAGCGGTCACGTCGCTTCTCTTCCTCGCGTGCAAGAGCGAGCACGCGACGTCGCGGATGACGCACAACATTACGACGCAGATGCTGCCAAAAAGCAAAGCCGTCGCGGGATGGCGCCATATCTTGGTCTTCATTCGTCTCTTGACCGCGATCGCGAGCCAGTACCGGTTCTCGAAAGGCAGCGGCCTCCTCTTTGAAGATGCGATGAAGATCAGCGGCTTGACGCTCGAGCATTCGAATGCGAAAGTGCGCACGGCCGCTATCGACCTCCTCGTGCAAGCCATTCTCATTACGAGCGAGTCGAGTGGTAGACGACTTGGCATCGATCGGAGATGATGGATGACGACGCGATGGACTAGGACTCGAGGGCACGGCCGATGAGATTGGCGATCAGATTCTGTCGTTTGCAGACTCGCTCTTGCTCAAATACGTCGGTCAAGTCAAGCCGTCGCTTCTCGGCAACATCAACAAGGGGCTCAAGGCCGCTCTTCAAAACAGCAAGCGGCTCTCGGAGACGCGGACGCCAAAACTCAAGGACACGAGCGCCCCGAACGTCAACCTGCTCCTCCTCGCGACGAGCGACAAGAAGGAAGAGCTCAGCGACACGGATCTGCCGTACGCCGAGCCCGTCCAAGGTACATCTATCTATCCAGCTTGTGCGATAGTCTAATTGGTTACCATGTGTAGACCAGTTTAAAGACGAAGCCCTGTGCGTGCAAGCCTGCTTTGGCGACAAGGTCGCGCGCTGCCTCTACTCGAACGCGTGGGCGCCTCGCGTCGAAGGCCTCAGCTACCTCCAACGACTTCTCGAAAGCAAGACGTGCCACGTGTCCGACGCCAACGTCGTTGCCGCCATGGACAAGATCTTGACGAGCGCGCTCAGTGACCGTGTCAACGCCGTGGTATCCTATCTATCTATCTATCTATCTATCTATCTATCTATCGATCTATCGATACTAATTTCATGTGCGTTCTAGTACGAAGCCGGCGTCGGGCTGCTCATGGAATTCCTCGTCGGGCTGCTCATGGAATTCCTCATTGGCAGTGGAACGAGTGACGGGCCGCGCCAAGCAGCGTTGCAAAAGGTGCTGCGCCCGCTTATCTCTCGCATCGTCCACAAGTACACAACCACAACTCAGACGTCATATCCGATCGTCTTCTCACATGACGTGTCGGTAGGCTGGGCGACTCGAAGGCGCGGCTCCAAGTCGTGAGCGAGGACGCCCTCCTCTTCTTGTCGCGGCAGACCCTCATCGGACCGGAAATGGTCGTCGAGGAGATCCCATCCTCAGCCGCGACATCGACGACGCTCCTCGCCAACAAACTCACCTTGCTCGCGAAGCTCATGCTCGAGTTTGGCGTCAAAGAAGCCGGCGGTGCGCTCCCGTTGCGCCTCGTCTTGCAGCCCGCGGTCACGTCATGCGAGAACAAGGACCCGGCCGTGCGCCACGCGGCGCTGCAAGTGTTTTCGGAAGCGTTCAAGGTTTCGATTTGTCTCTTTCCGTGTCGCTTCAAATGGTCTGCTAGGTGGCCCGGCAAGCGACCATGCCGTTCCTCAATGGCCTCGCGCGGGGCGCGCGCCAAAAGCTCATCTCCAAGCTCGTCGAGATGGGCGTCCTCGAAAGCGATCTGCTCATGGACGACGTCGACGACTTTGATATCGCGGTGGACCCGATCCGACCGGGCACGTCAGGGCCGCGCCCGCCGACCGCGTCCGGGTCGTCGACCAAGCACCGACCCGCACTCTCCAGTGTTTCGCTCTCAGCGCCCCATGCGGGTACGCACATTCGAGGTGCAAATGGGACGACGATGCGTTGTGTGTAGGCAATGCATGCGATGCAGCGCTGCCGTACGGCGCTGCGCTCACGCCCGAGCAAGAAACCGAGTGCGCGCGCCTCCTGCCCGTGCTCGGCGAAGGCGTCGTGCGCTGTCTCGTGGATAAGAACTGGGCCCAGCGCGAGGCCGCGGTGCGGGAAATCGAAAAGAAGGTGCTCTCGTCCGTCAAGTCGTCGGACGCGAGTGCGCTGCCGCAAGACGCCACCACGCTCCTCGTGCTCTCCGAGGCGCTGGAGCTCCTCTTGAACGACACAGTAGCCCGCGTCTATCAGTGCGCGCTCCGGCTCATGCAGGTGGTGGCCACCGAGTTCTTGCCACTCGTGCCCGGTGGCGACGTGGTCGTGCGCTCGACACTCCGCACCGCCATCGACGTCGTGATCCAGAAACTCGGCGACTCGAAGCAGCGCATCCGGTCCGACTCGTTTGCACTGCTGCACACGCTCGCGGGCTTGCCGCACGTCGGTGGCGCGGTCGTCGGCGGCTTCCTCCTCGACAAGTACACGCAGCTGCTCGGATCGTCGCCGGTCGCGATTGCCGAGATCCTCATGCTGCTCACGTCGCTTGTGCGCGAGTCGGCCAAGTCGACGCCACTGGACGTCGCGCCGATCCTATCGGTCGTCGTGCCCGCCTTTGAAAACAAGCACGTGGACGTTCGGAATGCCGCCGTCGCCGCGTACACGGCCATTTACGACGTGACGAAAGGCGGCACCGACACCCGCTTTGGCTCGGTCGACGTCAATGCGTGTCTCTCGACGCTCAAGGCGACGGTGCGGGAAGCGATCACGCGCAATATCGTGCAGATCAAGAAGGATGCCACGTACGTGTGCCACGTCATGAGATGATGGCGTCATCGTATGTAATATGGACCAATGGGCGTAGGCCGTTGCAAGACGATGCGGCCCCCGAAGTCGAGTCGGCGCGCGGCCACCACGGCGTCGACATGGAAAAGATGGAGGCGTACGTCGGCTGCGACGTCTGCTTGCTGCTCGCGTCGCCGGTGAGCATCAAGCGCCGCCAAGGCGTGCTTCAGCTCCTCGAGTGGCTACCGAAGCGTGGCCACGACGCCAAGCTCAAGGGCATTTGGGAGATCCTCTGTCTTCTCTGCAAGCAACTGCTCATCGACACTGCGACACCGGTCGCGCTCGCCACGTGTCGGCTCCTCGGTCTCATTGTGGACGCGCCGGCGCACGCTGTGTATGCGATTCCGTGGGGCGAGTGGGGCGTGAATTTGATTCTGAGTTCGACGATCCGCAGCATTTTGCAGCAGGCGTCGCACCCTGCCGTGCGCGTGCGACATGAGGTCATGGCGCTGCTCCGCGCGACTTCCAAGCGCCATGCAGTCGGGCGCAACGTGGTCTCGACCGCGGTGCTGAGCGCGCCGGAAGATCGGTCGTCGCCCAATGCGTCATCGCACGAGAAGCGCAAGAGCCATCTCGGTACCATGTGGCAGCTCTCGCTCCGACTCGAGCTCATGGACGAAATGCTGCAAGAGAGCGTTCGCGGATCGCCCCAAGCTGGGCAAAAGGACATTTTATGCGTCGAAAACGTCGTGCCGTTCCTCGGGTCGTCGTGCTTGCCCCACCCGAGCGCCCACGTCCACGATTGCACGCGCAATGTGCTCCAGCTCCTCCAAGCCCACGACGCGGTCGCCTTGTCCAAAGCCATCGCCGTCTGCTCCGGTATCCTCCAGCGCAAGCTCCAGACGTTCATCGACGACGAAGCGAGTGCCGACGTCAAGAAAGACCCGGTGGTCGTTGTGCGCGGCTCGCGCGCGTCGCACGTCCGGCGCATCGCCGCGCTGCGACCCCCGCGGTCCGTGCCGCTCGACGACACGAAAGCGCTTGGCAACGTCTGCATTCGACCGCCCAACTCGGCGCGCGATGGATCGCTCACGTACGACGATGAGGACGGTGGCGAGACTGACGGCGATTGCAACAACGCATATGGGCGGATCCCGACAGTCGCCATGGGCGGTAGCGACGCGGTGCCGCTCTGGCTCAGCGACAAGAAGCCACTGCGCACGGACGACGAGCCGGCGATGGGCGGCGCGTCCGGGCTCGTCAAAGCCCGTCGGAAAAGCCGCCGCGCGAGCAGCAACAACAACCATGACGACGACGACGACGACGGCGCGAGCATACGGGCGTCGTATGCAAGGACGAGCGCGTATTGAAGCGACGACAACAACGTCCCCCGTTTCCACGAAATACGACGATATACAGACAAGATTATATAGGTTTAAACACGATGGGTACATGTGATGCTTCCGCGCCGTTCTGCTGCTGTCGGCGGAGTTGACGACGCAAGTTGTACATGGCTGGGATTCAGAATATATATTCTCATCGGAATCGCTGGCCTGCATCGCGCGACGACTGGGAGGATGGACGTCAAGACGGAGCGCCGTGGACGTACAGACCCTACCCACCTCCCCCAGAAAATGTGGACCCTACCCCTTGGTCTCGTCACCACGCGGTGCTTTGTCTTGGAGGCGTCCTTTCCGAGTATTGAGAGAAGACGACTTGTCACTTTCTGCCAGAATCAAATCGGATCCAATCGAATCGCAAGCCCTTATCGGCAGAGGCCCGTGATGGCGCAGTAGAGCGCAGGAAAGACAAAAAGCCGGGGACGGCCCGCGGCGTGACGACGACGCGAGCTACGCACTCGACCACAGCGCACCCTCCGCAGCAGTAGCAGCACGTCGGTCCAAAAGCTCGAGCACCAAGCAACGGGAAGCCCGGTACAAGGACCGCACCAACGACTGCCGCGATCGACGCCACCAGCGACGACGACGATGACAAGTCAAATCGAGTAGCCGTAAAACGACAACTGCAGTTGTTCATCTGATTTAATTAATTAATCCGCTGCAGGCCTGGTACCCCACTAACGTTCCTACCAGTGTATGATCGAGTGCAGTAGTGTCGAGCCAAACGATCCCGATCCGATCGATCCACACGTAGTACTACCCAGATGCAGTCGTCCCGTCTTGCCACGCGCCTGAAGTGCCTGAAATTCGGTCTTTTGATATCCTAATTAGGACGAGGCGGTTGGCGACTTGGCTTTTTGGCATTTCGAGTCGGAGGACGATGGTCGTGGAGGTCCAGCGCAAGCTCACGGTGCTTGGGTACCCGGGCGTCGGCAAGTCGTCGCTCACCACGTGCTTTGTCGAGAACCGCTTCGTCGAGAACTACGACCCGACGATCGAGAACACGTTCCACAAGACGATCCGCTTCAAGCACGCCCACTTTGTCACCGACATCGTCGACACCGCAGGCATGGTAATCGGCCTGTTCGCCTCGCCGCCGCGTCATGCACACGTCTGCCTAGGACGAGTACTCGCACTTCTCGCAGGCCGCGTCCGTCGGCGTCCATGGCTACATCCTTGTCTACTCGATCACGTCGCGGACGTCGTTTGAGAAGCTCAAGCTCATCAACGAGAAGCTCATCAACATGCTCGGGTCCGAGCCGCCGCGCGTGCTCATCGGGAGCATGTCGGACCTCGATCGCAACCGCCAAGTGTCGACGGACGAGGCGCAGGCCATCGCGCGCGCCTGGGGCTGCCCGTTCACCGAGTGTTCGGCCAAACAAACGAAACATCAGTACGTGCATATATCTTCCCGTAGCCGCCACGATGATGACGCTGTACTGTGTATTAGATGAAGTCTTTACGTACTTGATCAAGGAGATCGAGCGCGACTCGGGGCTCCTCGCCGTCGACGGCGAACCCAACTGCGTCATCTTGTAGTGCTTCCGCCTTTTTTCTGCTCTTCTTCTTCTCAACGCCGCCATGTGCTTGATGTGCTTAATCATTCTCTATGCTCGGTCTTGCGACATACGCCGAAAGAGGGCGTGGAGCGACGCGGTAATGGGCGGGATCACGAGGGTCGAGCCCACGGCCGCCTGGAGCTTGGACGAGTCGAGCGCGACGTTGGAGCGCGATTGACACAAGGCGGCTTCTTCAACCGGCCCAAAGTTGGTGTACACGTACGACGCGTCGATGTACTGAATGTACAAGTCGAGGAGCTCGTTGTGCGAGATGACGCCGGGGTTTGTGAAGTTGAAGACGCCAACGTTCCGCTGCTTGGCGAGCAGCACGACCGCCGGCAACAGGTCGTGCAGCACCGTGATCGAGTTGGGAATGTTGATGACCTATCCATCGTCGAGTGCATTCCTCGAGACCACATAAGCAAGGAGGCGGAATACCTTGGGGTAGCGGAGGAGCTTGGTGAGGAGGCTGCGGTCATGGAGGTCGTCCGAGAGCGGCATACGAAAGCGCAGGACGCACACATTTGGGTACGAGCGCAGCATCTACATGCCTCATCTGTCCATCGAGCACATCATCGTGATGAAGGATGGTGTACCTCTTCTAACATGCCCTTGGTCTTGGCGTAGAACGATCCGGTAAAGTTGCCGCGGTCGTCCTCGGTGAAGAGCTTGTCGCTGTGCATCGGGTGCGCGTCATCGTACGTAAAGATGCAGCCCGAGCCAATGACCGTGCAGTGGATTGGCGTCCCGCGGCCGTCCTGCGACGCGTCATGGCACACGTCGACGACGTTCAAGCAGCCGACCACGTTGGCCCTAGTACGCAGCACCTCCGTGTGAGCTTACGTAGAGAGATCTCTCGTATCAAGTAGGAGCAGTTTACCGAATCGTCTCGGCTTGGTGCGTCTCGCACCAGTCGACGTTGGGCCGGCCAGTGACGCCGGCGGCGTTGATGACATGCGTCGGGGCCAACGCAAGCACTTCCCTACATAGGCTGTGACGCGAATCCGTAGTCCTCGATGTACGTACTTGGCAACGGCGGCGCGATCCTCGAGCCGTGCGCGCCCCACGTCGCAGTGGTCGCCTTGGCTCGCGAAGAGTGCCAGGAGCTTTTGGCCGATCCAGCCCGTGCCTCCGTACAGGAGGAAGCGGCGCGTCGGCACCTATGCGTACCAGCTACGTCCCGCTACGATCTCATTGTCGTTAGGCTACCTGGGCAGTCTCGGTCATCGGCGCTGGTGGTGCAAACTGGAAATGGCAGCAACGGGCGCCTGATAGTTGGCCGCTTGTGATTGGCTGCTGCATTTTTAGCTGCGTTTGATTGGCTGGAATGCCTATCAGTGTGAAGACGTATGATCGCAATTTCTGCGGCTGGCACACGGGCTCAGATCTGAACGGTCTTGACGCCGCCGATGGACCTAGGAGCCGCAACACGGCCGACATGGGCCCTACTGGTAGAGACCCTGTCCTCAGCTCGCTCCGCAAGTGGGCGCTTCGGGCGCTGCACGGTGCATGGCGGTTGCAGCAATGCGCCACGTCATGAGGACAGCGGTACAGACAAAGGATCTTAGCGACGTTACAATTTAGAAGTTGATCGGCTTGTCGTAGGCCGCGTTACAGGCCTCCTTGAAGGCTTCGCTCAAGGTCGGGTGGGCGTGGCACGTGCGGCCAATGTCTTCGGCCGACGCACCGTACTCGAGGCCGAGGACGCCCTCCGAGATCATCTCGCCGGCGTTGGACGCAATGATGTGGATGCCGAGGATCTTGTCGTCGTCCTTGGCGGCAAGGATCTTGACAAAGCCGTCCGTCTCGCCGACCGTGCGGGCGCGCGAGTTGGCCATCATCGGGAACTTGCCGACGTTGTAGGCGACGTTGGCGGCCTTGAGCTCCTCCTCCGTCTTGCCGACGCTAGCGACTTCCGGGAACGTGTACACGACGCCCGGGATCGCGTTGTAGTTGACGTGGCCGTGGCCACCAGCGATCGACTCGACGCACGAGATACCTTCCTCCTCGGCCTTGTGCGCGAGCATCGCGCCTTCAATGCAGTCACCGATGGCGAAGATGTTGTCGACGTTCGTCTTGAAGTTGGAGAGGTCGACCTGGATGCGGCCAAACTTGTCCGTCTGGATGCCCATCTCCTCGAGGCCGAGACCCTTGGTGAACGGGCGGCGGCCGGTCGCGACGAGGACCGTGTCGCACTCGATCGTCGTGGCCTCGCCACCGGCGGCGGGCTCGACCGTGAGCGTGACCTTGTCGCCTTCGACCTTGGAGGCCGTGACCTTCTGGCCGAGCTGGAAGTTCATGCCCTGCTTCTTGAGGAGCTTCTGGAACTCGCGGCCAGTCTCAAAGTCCATCGTGGGGCAGATCTTGTCGGCGTACTCGACGACCGTGATCTTGGCACCGAGGCGGCCATAGACCGAGCCCATTTCGAGACCAATGACACCGCCACCAATGACGACGAGGTGCTCCGGGATGCGCTTCAACGAGAGCGCGCCCGTCGAGTCGATGATCTTGCCAGCCTCGTTGTCCACCGGGACCGGCGGCAACGGCGTGACCTCCGAACCCGTGGCGATGAGGATGTTCTTGGTCGAGACGGTCTTGTTGCCGCCCTCGTTGAGCGCGACGCTGACCTGGTTCTTGGCGACGATCTTGCCAAAGCCCTTGATGTAGTCGACCTTGTTCTTCTTGAAGAGGCCCTCGATACCGCCCGTCAAGATCTTGACGCTCTTGTCCTTGGAGGCCATAAGCTTGGCAAAGTCAATGCGGAGGCCGTCGACTTCAATGCCAACGTTCTTGAAGTCGTGCTGGGCCGCGTGGTACTTGTGCGTCGCGCTGAGGAGCGCCTTGGACGGGATGCAGCCGACGTTGAGGCAGGTGCCACCGAGCGTGCCACGCGACTCGACGCAGGCCGTCTTGAGGCCGAGCTGCGCGGCCTTGATGGCGGCGACGTAGCCGCCGGGGCCACCGCCAACGACGACGAGGTCGTAGTCCGAGCCGGTGCTAAAGGCCGCCGCGAACTTGGGGCGCAGGAACTTGCGGGCGCTGGAACGAACGGCGAGCATGCTCTCGTAAATGAACCAAATTACAAAGTGAATTCCCGAGGATTTTTTTTCCCGCAAACGCGAGCTTTTGCATGTTTTTGATGCCATGGCGGCAGTGTTTTTTTGTGCTATGCACGCAACGCAATACAAACACCAAGGTCAAGATGGATTTTGTGCCTTTTTATGATGGGATGCGTATAGTGAAAACCACAATATTATTATGCAAACGGGCACGTCCCTCGCTTTAGCGGCGCCGTCACCGCCTGCCCGTTGCTGACCCCTCCTTGCGAGCTGTCTCAGGCCCCCACGCATTTCATCTCTTTTCACATATGTCTATACCGTTTCCAAGTGTACATTAAATCTATATTTTAAAATACACGGGGCACGACCACCCTCGGTAAAGTGCGGTGGCTGCTTCGCACTTTCGCGGGACCTCCGATTCCCCTCCAATTATTGGCCCCGCTGCCCGTGATTGGTCCGCATGTGTTTCCAACAGTGTTTAAAACTATATGAGCGACATCACCACGCTTCGCTGGGCAGCGAGATGACATGGCGGGATGGTCATGATGGGACCCAAATGGCCAACGCTGCGCAAAACAGTCCCCTGGCATGAGCAGCCGCATTGGAGACAGCTATCAGATTGTAGGTGCAACGTGCACGTCAACAAGTGCACATTCGTCGACAAGGGTGGAAGTAGCCACGGCGCCACCGTCGCCGCGTCACTCCTCGCCGCCGTGGGCCACCATGGGTATGTCGGACATGTACTGTACAAAGTTCAAGAAAGGGTGGGCTCTCCAGATTCGAGTGTTTCGAGTGTTGATGGCACAAAGCCACGGTGCATCGCATGGCCTGGAGCTCTCTTGGATACAGGATGCGTTAGGGCGGTGAGTGCAGCATCCATCGCCGTCGATAGTAGCTGTTGTCGCGATGCTACGCCATGACGTCACGCGTATCGGGCCTTTGAGTCCTCTGGCGAACTGTGCCGAAAGTGCATCCGCGGTCGGTTTTGAACAGTCGCAGGAAGGTGTATCAAACAGTTTTAAACAGCACCAATAGATTGGTTCCGTTTGCGAGTTGAACACAACACACAGGAGAGCCATGTCGAGCGACGAGAGCGACTACAGCAGCAGCGACGACGAGACCGAGAAGGCCTTCTTCAAGCCCAAGCCCAAGCAGGTCAAGGAGGCCGTGCTCGCGGCCTCGGACTCGGAGGCCAGCGACTCGGACGACGACGACGATGAGGATGACAGCGCCGTCCAGGACGCCGAGAGGTAGCACCTCCATCGCAACCATCGTGGCTCACGCCGCCGTAGCGCTGCGCAGGACGACCATGCGAGCGAGCTCAAGCAAGCTGCGAAGGAGAAGACCAAGGCCACGGTGTACGTCGAAGGCATCTCGTACGACGCCGACGAGAGCTCGCTCGTGTCGCACTTTTCGGCCTGTGGCGCCGTCAAGGAAGTGCGCATGCCCCGGTACGCCTGCCGCTTCTCCGCATGTAGCGCTGAGGCATGTGCAATAGGTATCAGGACTCGGGCAAGCCGCGCGGGTATGCGCACATCGTGTTTGACTCGGACAAGGCCGCGAAGAAGGCGCTGGCCATGGACGGCCAGTACATGATGAAGCGGTAATGCTTGCATGTCAGCGCTGCTGAGGACTCATGCTTTGCGTCTGTAGCTATTTAAGCGTCCGACCCGCCGAGACGCCTCGCACCCTCGAAGCGGTGCTGACCAAGTCCAAGTCGACCAAGGCCATCAAGGGCTGCCGAACGGTCTTTGTCAAGCAGCTGCCGTACGAGATCACGGACGCCGAAGTCAAGGAAGCCTTCGAGTACTACATGCGTCTTGCATTCTCAAAACTCAAAAACCCATGTCTTCTCAATAGATCCTGCGGCACGATCATCAGCGTGCGCCTCCCCGTGTGGAACCACACGAAAAATTCCAAGGGGTTTGGGTACGTTGAGTTTGAGACCGAAGCCGAAGCCGTCGCCGCCACGAAGAAGAGTGGCATGAAGGTGCAGTCGTTTGCCGCCATGTGATCCGTGGCAGCTGACGCGCGAGTGTTGTACAGATTGGCAACCGTATGGTGCTCGTCGAGTTGGACACGGGTGCGCCCAAGGCCAGCTTCCGCACGACGACGGGGCAGTACTGGAACAAGGTCGAAGAAGGCAAGGCGAGCCTCGCCAAGCGCATGTCCGACAAAGGCAAGAAGCGCAACCAGCCGGATGCGACCAAGCCGACCAAGAAGAAGCTGCGGTTGTAGATAGTGACGGTATGCAAGCAAGACAACAACAGACCCACCTTTGAACTCCAACGTCTTTTGCGTCTCGTCGTGTACCTCGTGCGTACATTCTTGGTCCTTTCTCTGGCGCCCCCAAGCTACTTTTGGTGCGTAGAGATGGGTCTCGTGCATGGCGCTCTTCAAGATGACGCACGGCGGCTCACGGTCGCTTGCAGCCACAAATTCCTTCGTGTCACGTGGCAGCGCAGGTGCGCGGCGCGCAGTCCCACGCTGCATGTCGCCCAAGTGGCGTCTTGTCTAAACCCACGCGTCTTTGGCCGCACCACCGATGTGTGCAAGACCACCGCCGACGCGTTCATACCGGTAAGGGAGTCACACAAGCGGGAGCGACGCATACTTGAGGCATTGAGGCGCGTGCGATTAGTGCGCGTGTGTGGCCTGTCTACACAAGCATGTTGTTGAAGTGTGGGACCCGCGCGTCACTTTCAAGAGCTTCGTATGTCGTCGTCGATACTCGTTGAGATGCAGACGTGACGGAGAGCCACGCAATGCGCCTGCCCGTTCCCCGACTGCGCATCATGCATGATGAGTCCCTTGTCACGGCGGCGCGCCGGGGCCATGAGTAGCCAATGAAATGGCGTGCTGGCACTCATTTTGCATTTTAGCCAATCACAACACAGGTTGGACAGAAGGACACCAGTTTGCACGCTCGCTCATTGACGCGCCTGATTCAGCAGCTGGAGTAGCTCGAAAACACAAGGTGGTTCACCACCGAGACGACGACGACGACGGCGATGCTCCTCCTCCTCTCTACACAAAATGGATAGCACAGCTGTCACTTACCAATTTTTCCAATGGAGCCCAATCCGAGCCTCTGCAAGTACCCTAACAAGCCGTGCCTGAACGCCCGCTCGAGCAAGAAAAATGGATCGCTGCACAACCTGTGCGAGTACCACCGCGAGAAGGCGAACGCGATGCAGCAGCTCTACATGCTCAAGCGCAAGTCGCTCGACCAGCGGTCGCCGTCCACGCGGCCTAAAGACGTGCTCGCGTACTGCGAACTCATCGAGAAGGCCAAGGCCCTCCAGCGCACGTCGAGTTTGGACCTCGAACCCATTGCGTTTGCCGTCGACGGCGTCACCGAGGAGCTGCCGCCGCTCTCCCAGATCGACTTTGACATTTTGCTCACGTCCATGGAACTCACCGAAGACTCGGCCGAATTTGAAATGCTCGGGTCGCCGAGTACGTGGTCCTACCACTAGCCGCCGCCGTCGTCGTCGTCGTCGTGTTTCCCGTCTGGACGCTGTCGCCCTCTCCACATTTGCTAATTTATTCTGCCCAGAAACATCATTTTTGTGTCGTTCTCGTTGTTGTCGATGGTACTGGAGCCTTCTCGCTGGCTTCCGTCGTGGACGCTGATCTGTCTTGCATCGACACCTCCCGCTTCGCTGCGTACATTTCAATTGCAGGTAGCCAACATCATCCGTGAGCGGGCAATGAAGTTGTATGCTTCCTTCAAGAAGACGAGAGGCGACAACCACGGGGCGACAACGATATACATTGCATCATGCTACTCTTGAGCACATGTGTTGGAGGATGCGGGAGGGCTGTTTACCAAACGTTCCCGCCCCGACGGCGCCCAAGATGTGAAGCGAATCGACCCCTTTGCGGCGACGCAGCGACAACGACGCAGCACGAGGTTGAGAAATTCTGACCAAAGGAAGGGCACCGCAGTGCAACGTGATGACGCCCCAAGAGCGACAAAGCCGCAGCGTAATACGGTAGCACGGGCCGCCGACGCGCCGCTTCTCGCACCCATGATCCGCGCAAGCTGTCGTGTCATTGACAGACTGTACAGAAAAATGCGCGTTGGACCGGACTTTGTACGTGCATACAAACATCAAGTGGCTTGGCGCCGCGTCTTTATTCGAATGGCTACAATCACCACATTTTCCCCGTTCCAGGGCCGGGAATGCCAGAGTCGACGCGCGACCTACTAGCTTGCAAGCCCATGCACGTGCTTGTCTGCACTGGCCGTCTACCTAGCTATATGACATGCCTCGTGGGACACAAGACGTGGTATGCACACCGCGCCGTTGTTCTTGCTGCGTCATTTTGAAGGCATTAGTAAGGTCGCCGAGTGTCCACGACAGCTTCCACGGCGTTCCGCAGCGTGGACTCTTGGTGCACTGCCTTCTTGGATGTAATTCGAGTGCAAAGGGACGTGCACTACAAGGAGACATGCCGGCAGCGCCTCTGGAGCTGCTTGCACGGTCAGCTGGTTTTATGCGGTGGGAATTTTTCGATGATTGAGCAAGCGCGCGGAGCATGCAGGATGTATTAATACAAGTATGGAGACGGAGCGCATGTGGACAGAAGGTGTGTTCACAGAGACGCCGACCTCCAAGCGACGCTGCAGTGCTTGCAACACGTCAAGGTCTGCAGGTTCCATCTGGTTGCAGTCGAGGGGTGGCTAAGGAGGCGTGGAAAAAGTCGAACGTCGCACTTAAGCGGGATACGCCAAGCCACGCCGGCCAGTGACCGAAACGAGGATTCCGCGGTCCAGAATGAGCCCGCCGACGAGCGCATGGGTTCGCCATGTGGACGAGGACTCGAACAAAGCGTACTACTTCAACGAGACCACGGGCGAGACCACGTGGGATGAGCCCAAGGACTTTGCGGCGACGGCTGGCCACGACGGCGAGGGCGGCAAGAAGCGCAAGGCCGACGAACTCATCGAGGCCGACGACGATGGTTGCCTCTGGGTCAAGTACATTGACCCGACGACCCAGAAGCCATACTACTCGGACATGAACTCGGGCAAGACGCAGTGGGAGGCGCCGACGTTCTACACGTCCGACCAAGGCGAAGACGACGACGAAGAAGTGGACGAAAACATCGAGGAAGAGTACGCCTTTGGCGCGATCGCAGACGCGCCCAAGCCGACGCCTCTTGCCGATGAGAAGGCGCCCGACTACTACCGGTACATGGACGCGACGACCAACAAGCCGTACTACTTCAACGTGCGCACCAAGGAAACGACGTGGGAAGAGCCCGTCGATGGTGTGATCCAGGACGGGTCGGCCATCGCGAGCACCGAAGTCGTCTCGGGCAGCGCCAAGTACCAAGAATGGATGAACAAGGCGGCGACCGCCGCTGCCAACTCGTCGGCGGCCAAGGCGCAGTCGGCGGCGACGGCAACCGCACCGACAACGACGACGTCGGCGCCGAGTGCCAACGACCCGGTGAACCGCCTCAACTCGATCCTTGGCAACGTGGGGGCGTCAGGCAGCTCGGCGCGCTGGCAGCAGCACTTCGACACCAACACGCAGCGCTACTACTACCACGACGCGGCGACGGGCACGACGCAGTGGGAGGTCCCGACCGAAGGCGGCATCGCGGCCGGCGTACGTGGTAGTGTGTCCGCATACGATGTGCACTCACGCTTTGCATGTAGAACGCGGACTGGGTCCCGGTTGATGCGCAAGCCGCGGCTGCGAACGCATCGATGGCCTCGCGCGTCGGGTACGACTACACGTCGACGGCCGGCATGAGCCTCGTGAGCGGGCGGTTTGCGAGCGCGGGTCTCGACAACGACTACTGGGCCAAGGCCGGCGTCCCGAGCGACAAGGCCGGGCGCCAAATGAGCAACTTTTTCGACATGACCGCGTTTGAAGCCAACCGCGCGGAGGCCAAGCGCATGAAGGAAGCGCTCCAGAAGAAGAACATTGACTGGAAGAAGGTCAACGCAGAGAAGAAGCGCAAGCGTCATCGCATCCGCAACAAGTGGATGTACGAAGACTAGTCGCAGCGACGTCGTTGATATGTAATGCATCTTGAATACCATCGTCCATCGCTTGCACCATCTTGCCCGCGTCGTACCCGCCTGGTCGAGCTCGTGCGCATCGCTGTACATCGTCCGTAAGCCACATGGGCATCGTCCGCCTCCGGCCACGCAAGGCCCACCAGTATCCGAGAGACGTCAGGGACAGGATTCGCTCGTCGTGCCGAGGTCTCTGCGCATGGCTCGCTCTCTGTGCTGCAATGCTCTCTACCACACCGACGACCTTGCGCATCCGGGGCGCGCTCGCTCGTCATCGCCAGACGGCGCGAATGCCACACGGCGCACTCGGTTCCGTGCCAAGATCGCGTCGACGAAGAGGCGAGCCAGGCGCGTTTGTTGGCCCGTTCGATCGGTCGATAGCCGCTGGGCCTGCCAACGAGCGACCCCGCGTTCGGCTCGTACATTCGCCGCCATGGTTGTGGCCATGGCCATGACCATCGTCATGGGAGGTCGACCCGCGAGCGCGACGGCGCCGGCCGCCGGGTCGGAAATCTGATGGCGTTCGACGAGGCGAGTAATATAAAATGGCGTATCCTGGTGTAACGGCGGTGCAATAATATTAAAATCTTTTTATTCGCTGGGGAGAGGGCCAGTCGCGGAGATCACGATGGGCGTCCAGAGCCTCCTCCATGTCGCGCTGCTCAAGATGCTCGTGCACTCGCTGCGCTATGGCCACGTCGAGGGCGTGCGCTTGGCCATCGAGAAGGGCGTCAACCTCAAGCACATTGACAAGCGTGGGCGCAACCTGCTCATGTACATACTCTCCCGCAACGACATCTCGAGGCTCATGCGCCTGTAGGCTGGCCATCAAGCAGGACACGGACACGCGCCTGCGCATCTCGGTGATCCTCGCCGACGCCGGCTGCGATATCAACCACACCGACGCCCGCGGCTGGAGCTGCTTGCACTACGCGTGGTACGTGTTGTCGGTATGGATGCGTCGAGGCTCATCATGGCCTAGCGCCGGCGGCGCGATCGACGTCGTCCACGAACTGCTCCGCCGAGGCGCCAACGTCGAGTACAACATCTTTGGCTTTGGCGCTTCCGACCTCTCGTTCCCGCGGGTCCAAAAGGCGCGGAGTCTGCTCCAGCACACGGAGATGCTGTCGCACGAGTCGGCGGTCCGCGTCTGCTGGGGCATCGTCGAGAAGCACATGGCCGACCGTGGCTATGCGCTCGAGATCCCAGCGCCGACGCACGAGTTCAAGCAACCGCTCAAGGTCATGTTCCATGCGCCATCGGACCACAGCCATTTGGACCGGATCCGCATTGTCGACTTGCAGTCGTCCGTGCCTGTCTGGGAGCAGATGTCGCGCACGATCCCCGTGCCGCCAGGTACGACGACGACGACAGAGGTATGTTCGGTGCAAGCTTCTTTCCTAGGTCACGTCGGTTGCATCACTCTCGACGCTGAAGTGCTCGACGTGCCATCCATGTACCGCATCTACTACGAGCAGTACCGCCCGACGCCAGTGGCCTTGTCGGCGGCGGCAATGCGTGCGCTCGAAGACACGCTGTGCGTCAAGGACCTCGACTCTGGCCAAACGGTGTCAGTCAAGAGTGTCAACGACCTCGTGTTGCGTCAGCGGTATACCACGTCGATGCTAAGCGCTGGACTTCTCTGACGTGGCATCATGTAGTGGCAACAACCAAACCGTCTCCGACAACCAAGACCCGACCGAGGACTCGGGTGCGCTCGAGCTAGGCACCCTCGAGTCGTGTTCGTCGACGAGCGACGACTGGGAAACGAGCTCGGCCACGAGCGAGGTCGTGCCACCGGCGGTGGTCGCGGCCTCGGGCGTCCACCGCTTTGCCGCAATGGCCACCGTGAGCCTCGTCCGGCTCGAGGCGCCAAAACCCCAGCGAAAGACCGAGTCGCTCTATGACATTGTTGTGACGACGCCGGGCCTAATTGGCTTGTCGCTGGAAGGCATCGCTGACGCCAAGGGCCAGCGCGTCAAGATCGTCGTCGTCGCGCTCTCGCCGGCGTTCCAGTCGGCGTTTCCAGGCGTCAACGTCGGCGACTGCCTCGTCGGCATCAACCACCACACACACGTCGAGTACGCTGGCATGCAGCATACGCTTTGGGCCCTCGCCGACGCGACGCGCCCGCTCACGCTTCGTTTTCGCCAAGAGTCCAAGGACCGACCCCGGATGTTTCGAAGTCTCATGCGGAAACGCTCCTCCGTGTCGTCCGTCTAAGTGTCTACATATCGTGTATCATCTACCGTGCTTCCGTCTGCTGTGGTTGCTGCCGACGGCGTGGCATCCAACACGACGTGCCCACAGCGTACTATACATATCTTTAGCGAGTTTGGTTGGTGGGGTTAGGGTACGGGTAGGGTTCGATCATTCTGCTTCCTGGCGCCAGAGGAGGACCCAGTCTATATTGTCGCTTGCCACAGATGGTTGAAGACAGAGAGTTGAGTATAGTGAAAGGTTGAGCGCCGAAGTGTGGTTTGCATTTTTCTAGACGCGTGAACAAAATCCAAGACAAGAACTACCGTCGCACTACATTACAGAGGGTATGATCTACGTCCTTCTCCAGCACCAACTTTGGTATTGTTGCCTAGGCGTTGTGGCATAGCTGCGTCTTTGAATCTTCATGGGCGTGCTCGTGTGCGAGTGCGGCATCTCGATCGGTCGACGTGTCATGTGCTGAGTACGCCAAAGAAAGTTTCTTGCTCTAGGATGATGTCAACATGTCGCACGACGACACGTCATTATGACGCGTCTTCAAATCGGGCGACAAGTTCTGGTGGGAACCGACCGTAATGGAATCGTTTCGTATGGGAACCATCTACCAATGACAACCACCATGGCCATGTCGACGCGATTCTTCGTCGTGCCACATGCGTGACACCGCGCCATTCTCGTTTGCAAGTCCCATCGACGGCATCAACGTTGATGGTCGCTTCTATGCTTCTAACGGACAGCAGCAGTCGATGCAACACAAATGCACCCGAACGTTTGGTTGTTTCTGCTGGTTGCAGACACGAAGACTTGGTTCAAATATATTTCTTGGTGCGTCATCGTGGTGGCTATTGCGACAAAAGGCGCACCGGGAACGACGCGGTGCTTGGGGCCAACCAATCGCCTTGCCGTGCGATCGAGAGCGCGACCGTGTCGTCGCCGGCCGCAGTCGCGGGGGCCACATACAAGACATCGCGAAGGGCAATGTTGAGGTCCAGTATCGCACCGTGTAGCGTCAAGGTCGAGCTTGGGACCCCGTTGGCGCCAACGACAAAAGTAACACGTGTTGATGTCGTGGCGATGACAACACGACCCAGGGTGGCCGAGATGGTCAGTGTCGCTAGCGCTGTCGACTGGTCGACGTCCACGAGGTAGACCGATTGCGGACGTGAAAGCGGCGCAAACGGTTGCACGCCATTCCACATCGAAGCCCACGCCAGTTGCGGATGTCTCCCCGGGTAAAAGAGCGTCGACTGCGCAATCCCAAGTGCCGGTCGTGGCATCGCGTGCAGCGCGACATCATCGACCGCGACCGGTGCCGTGACCCATTGGGTACCTCCGACCGAGCCGTCGGTCGCATAGAGCGTCCGTTGACCGTTAACCGTCGTGGCCACAAAGTACAGGGTCGGTGGCGCCGACATCGTGTTGCGGACGCCCGCGGACGCCACGGTAAAGTACTGCGGCGACGACGACGTCGCGCCGGCGACGATATCGACGAGCATACTCGCGCTGTCGCCGTCCGTGACCCACAACTCGGTGCCGTGCACGCCGTCGTTGGCTGCAAAATAGACGTGGGCGCCGAACCGAGTGAGCATCGACGGTCCCGACCCGATATGTCCCGGGTAAATGTCCAGCAGTAGCAACGTGGTTGCACCGTTGGTTTTCCAAAGTTCGGCGCCGTGAACCCCGTCGTCGGCTTGGAAAAGCAGCCAGTTGGGCAACGCCACAAGCGACGTTGGCGACGACGCGCAGACGCCGGTGCAGATATCGTGCACGAGGAGCGCGTGCGTTCCGTCAAACGTCCACAATTCGACGCCAAAGACGTCCGAGTCGGCGGAAAAGAACAGGGCGCCGCCGTGGACGGTGAGATCCCGCGGGTGGCTGCTGCGACTCCCACGTACGATGTCTGCCACGATTGTTGCAGAAGTGCCGTCAAACGTGTAGAGCTCCGCGCCGAGGTCTTGCGTGGATGCTTGAAAGTAGAGTTGGCCGTTGTACTCGGCGAGGTACTTTGGGTTGGCGCTGTCGGGGCCGATCGCGATGTCCGTGACGCGCGCCGTCACGACGCCGTCGGTGCGCCAGAGTTCCCGCCCTCGCGTCGGCGTCGACATCGTTGCTACGCACACGATCCCGGCAAAGTTATTCGTCGACACATCGAGTTCGATGCGGAACGAGTCGCGCTGGCCCGCGTGCTTGCAAGCGCCGGTGGTCTACATCATGATATTGCGCATCGTCTTCCCCTTGCACTCGAGTCATACCCCCGAGTCGGCAAACCGAAAGCAGTGGCGGCTTCGACCGCCGTACGTGTACCCGTTCCAGCCGCATTGGTCAAAGTACGTTAGCGGCTCGGCAAGCGATCCGTTCGCGCCTTGCGTGCCGACAAAGAGTACCTGGCCTTGCGCCGTCGTTGCCCACGCGTAGCCGGTTGGACAGTCGTACACCTATTCTCCACCGGTTGCATGAGATTGCATTCGAGGCCCTCGGAGCGTACCGCTGTGGGGTCCCACGTCGTAGCATCGGCGACCACAAAGGCAACGGTCGGCGACACGGAGCTGCGACGAAGGCCGCCGCAGGTGTCGGCGTGCGACGGCGGCATGCGCCACGATGTGTCGATCCCATCGGCAGCAAAGTAGAGGTTGCCGTCGCTTGATAAAACGATCATTTCTGTCGGGTGGCCGCTCAATGGCCCAGGATACAGATCGGCAAGCACTGTCGTGACACCACCCGACGTCTGCATGAGCTCGGTGCCGGCGGCAGGTGTCGTCGCCTGGAACACGAGGCGCCCTTGGAACGTCGCAAAGTGCGTTGGTGACGTGGCCTCCGCGCTTGCCTCGGCGCTTCGCCACGTCGTGCTCACGTCGGTGGCATTGGCTTTTGTGTCAGGCTGCACCATGCTGGTTTGAAAGAGCGTGAACGGGGGCGGTGGGAGATGTAAGGCTGTGATGGTCGTGGGGAGGAACACATTTCCGAGACGTGTCGTGGCATTGAGAGCCGCCACCGGTGGCTCGTCCGGTACAAGAATCTGCACCGGCGTCGCCACGGCTTGCGTCGTCACTGTAAACGTCGCGCTCGTCCCATGGGTCGTGCCGTCCGAGACGTTGAGCACGATGAGGGACCGTCCGACATAGTACGGCGCCGGTGTAAAGGTCACGTCGGCGAGAGCGATGGTGACGTCATCCAGCGTGCCTTGGAAAGACAGTGAAGCGCTGCCGGTGGCCTCGCCCGCGTAAAACCACATGGTGCGTGGCGCGGAAGGCAGCGCGACGCTGCCGCTCGAGCACTGCATCGTGACGACCAGTGTCGTCGAATCGACATCGGTCACACCGATCGGGCCCAAGGCGACGGCCGTGTCCTCGTCGACGACGACAGCAGCGTCCATGGAGCCGGGCGCGACCCATGATGGCAGTGCCAGCCGCGGGGCATCGTTGATTGGCGCCACGTTCACCAACAGCACGATGCTACTCGGAGGTGCCGACGATGCGCAGGCACTGCTGCCAATGGCGAGCGTCACACGGTCGTATGTGATGCCACCACCACGTTCGGTTGTCCAGTCGGCTGCAGGCATGTACATCAGGCCGCGCAGTGCCGCATTCAAGTCGTCGACTGTGCCAGCAACCGTCGCCGTCGAGTAATAGAGACGCCCGACACCATCGTTAGCCGCTGACGCCGTCACGTGAAGCCCCGCGTGCGTCGCAAGCAGGACGCCGCCGACCGCAACCGAGATGGACAGCGTCAATACGCGATCGACGTCCATGACACTGGCGTCGACGTCCAAAATACGCAACGCACCGGAAAGCAGCAGCGGCGTGTCTTCAGGTGTCGAGAAAAGCGTCGGTGGTGTCGATGTCCACGTCGGTGGATCGCACACGGACGCGATGGCAACGGCCATCGTCGCCGACGCTTGCTGTGGACCGCCCGTGCCCGTGTTGCCGAGATCGTTTGCCGTCACCACGATGCTGTCTTGACCAAAGTAGTCACGTGTACCGACATACGTGGCACGCTGTAGAGCATAGTTGACGAGCTCCAACGGCCCTTGGACGTGCAGGAGGCCAGGCTCATGCTTGAGGATGTCGAGACCGGCGGTCGCCGATTCAAGATCAAAGTGTCCATGATCACACGCTAACGTCACCTGCACCTCGCTGCCAAATGTATCAACAACGTCGGCGTCAGTAATCACAAGGCCTTGCAGTGCGTACGGTGTGTCTTCTTGGATCAGAATGCGCATTGCCGGAAGCGTAATGATAGGTGGCATGTTTTGAATCGACGTGATCCGCACGTAGAGTCGCGTCTGGACGACGTTGGGACCGCCAACGCCAAGGTTACCCAAGTCGTCGATCGTGGCCACGACCCGTGGTTGAACCGTCGCCACCTCCGCACCCGTGTACGCCGCCAAGTCGAGCTCAAACCGCAGCGACGATAGCGCGAGGTTGAGCTGCGTCTGGGTGCCTCGCGCAATGATGTACGAGCTCTGGGCGGCAGCACCGACAACGAGCACAACAGTGGCGTGCGGGTTGAGCGTTAAATGTCCAAATGTCGCTTCCAGTGTCAGCTCCAACACCTCGTCGAGCGCGTCCGGGTCGGCAAAAGAGAGGTCATCGATCGATACACTTTGCTGCAGCACCGACTTGTCGAGGACAAACGTTCGCTCCGAGAGGCTCCATACTGGCGCATTGTTGATGGGCAGCACCGAGATGCCAATGTTGCGCTGCCCAGTGAGACTAAACATGCCCGGCATGGCCTCGTCGTAGGCCGTCGCAGTCACCGTCAGCTGGTCGGCGCCGTTGTAGTGCGTCGCTGGCGCATAGACGAGCGTTGCCAACGCCGCGTTGATGCGGGCGTACGTGCCAACGAGTTGGAGTACCGTCGGTGTTAACGACGTGCGTTGGACACCAATGGCAACGCCGACGCTCAAGCCGCCGTGCGCAACGCGAAGGGTCGCCGTAACGACGCTGGTCGGAACGGCGTCGACGCACGAGAGCGACAAGTTGGCGATGCGCAAGACGGCGCCTTCCATCGTGTGAAGCGGCGATACCGGTGCAACCGCTGGCGTCGCGGTGCCGAATGCGACAGTGGGCATCGAGATGCGCACCGTATCGGGCGCCGGCGCCACGTAGATCGTGACTTGCCAGGACGAAACGAGTCCGCCGACGTCGGTGATGCGCATATGTAGCGTGTCGTAGCTGTCGCCCACCGCGCTGTTCCAGTTGCGCAGTGGCCTGTACGTGAGGGTTGCCAGCGCCGCGTTGATCATCGAGAGTGTCCCGTTCAGGACCAGCGTCGTGTCGCCAGTGCCGATGCCAACGACGACAGTTGCATTGTGTGCTACTGCGACCGCACCGACGTCCAAGGTGAGCGCGACCGAGACGTTGTCATTGTCCGCGTCGACGGCGTAAAAACCAGGGAGTAAAAGCGCCTCGTCTTCCGTCGTGTCGTAATAGTCAGCACCAAGAACGATGTAGGGGACGTCGTTGACCGGTGTGAGAACGACGGGCACGGTGGCTGTGGATTCGAGCCCCGAAATCGCGAGCGGTTGGAGAACAGAGACGATCAGCACGACGGCGTCGGTTCCGTAATAGTTGTCCCGTCCTTGGTACGAGAGTTGGCCCAGCGCACGGTTGACAGCAGGAACATTGCCCGTGAGATGCCACGTCATCGGTGATGTCGTCGGTTCCCAGGCGACACCACGTGTCGACGGCAGTGATACCATGCCGTGCGCGACAGAGATCACTACGCGCACGTTGCAATCGTTGCAGTAGTTACCACCAATGCAGATACAATCGACTGCCCGGATTGAGAGGCCGGGTACAATGCTCACGACATCTTCTGGCACTACCAGGGTCGGTACCGTCGACAGCAACGGGGAGAGGTTGTCGGTCGTATGCGTGCCTGGTACGGGTGTGGCGTGGGCGACAAGCAATACAGGCGGGTCAGGCGCCGGCTGGACAAATATGATCGCAGTCGCAGTGTCAGTAAGAGCGTTTGCAATGTCGGACCACGTAAAGTGCAAAGTCGCGAGCGGCGGGGCATCACGCCACGGCACCGCTGCCGCCAAGGGAGCGTTGCTGTTCCAGTTGAGCGGTGCGCGGTACACCATCGTTTCAAGTGCTGCGTTGAGATCGGGCACGGCACCTCGTAGCACCCAGTGCGTCGATGCACCAAACGACCCACCTTGCAGCACTTGTACGTTCTCGGAAGCTTGCAGTCGGACGCTTCCAATCGACGTGTTGAGAGAAAGTTCCACAACTTGCAGAGCCATCGGTGGTGCCGGTGCCATCGACGTCGTCGTCGATACGAGAGGAAACACCATCGTGCTGCCGAGGTTGCCGACCTGGAACGTCGTTGGGTTGATTGTCAGTGCCGTCGTGCTGCTCCAGAGCGGCTTGGTGCCAACGGCCGAGCCGTCCGAGCCGTACCAGTGGCATGTCGACGCCACCGCGGTGGAGCAAAACACGAGCGTTGAGATAGCCACACCGCCGCGCATCTGCGTCTGCACCGAAAGGTACGATGGACTCGAACTGGCGACACCGGGAGCAATGTCCAGAAGAAGCATCGTGCCACCGGACGTGCCATCCGACACGTAGAGCTCGACGCCGGTCGTCATGCTTCCAAGTGCTTGGAAATAGGCTTTGCCTTTGTAGCACGTCACATGCTTTGGATCACTGCTGGCGCTGCCTGGAAGCAGGTCAGTCACGAGTGCCGCCTGGACGCCATCGAATGTCCAGAGTTCTCGTCCGTGGACACCGTCGTCGGCCGCGAAAAACAGCTGCAGGCCGCACGCTGTCAGCCACGTTGGATTGGACGAGAGCGCACCGCTGTGAATATCGGCAGCCACGTTGGTTGCCCAAGGACTCGCGCCCGCGATCGACGTCACCCAGAGCTCGCGGCCGGTCGTCGCCGTCGTGGCTGCAAAGTAGACTTGCCCCGCAAAGCTCGTAAATCCTTCGGGAGACGAACTATCAATGCCAGGAGCGAGATCTTGCTCGTAGATGGTCGTGCCGTCAAAGCGACAGAGCTCCGACCCGGACGCGAGCGTCGATGCCTGGAAAAAGAGAAAGCGCGAGCCCATCGGTGCCAGCGCGGTTGGGTGACTCAACGCCGTACGGACCTTTTGTGTCGTCGTGCCGTCGGTGTGCCACAACTGCGGCGGCAGAGGCGTCGTTGTCGGCGACGCCACGCACACGATGCCAGCAAAGTTTTCTGTTGCCATCGAGTATTCAACAGGATAGTCGACCCGACGGCCGGCATGCTTCATACCACCCGTGGCGCTCGAGTCGGCAAAGCGAAAATATTGGCGCGTTGCGCCTAGGAACGTGTAGCCGTCCCAGCCGCACTCGTTCCAGTAGACATATTCGGTGGCACCCGCAGAGGTGTTGAACACTTGGATGCCGTCCGCCGTCGTCATCCAGGTGTATCCGATCGGGCAGTCGTACACCCGCGACGGTGACCACACGGAAGTTATCGTGACGACAAAGAGCACATTTGGGAAGGATGGACTGGACCGCGCGGCGCTGCAGCCGTACGTCGTCACCGGCAGTTGCCACGCGATGTCGAGGCCCGACGCACTAAAGTAGACGCGGCCGTTGAACGTTGCCAATGATGTCGGGGTCGCACTTTTGTAGCCCGGATAGACATCCGCGACAAGCCAGGACCGGGTACCGTCCGAGGCAAACAGCTCGCGTCCCGCGACCGGGTCGTCGGCAGCGTAGTAGAGGACATTGTCCAGCGTCGAAAACCACTGTGGGTTGCTGCTAGTGCTAGATACGTGGCGGTAGCGCCAGTCGTCGTGTTGGCCCCATGCACCACTGACCGTGTCTGGTCGCAGCACTTCGCTTCGAAACAGCGCCGATGCGGATGCCGTTGCGTACTGCGCCGGTGTCCACGATTCGGCCACGAGTTGAATGCCCGGTAGCGACAGCGATCGATCTTCGACCGCCCTGTAGATACTGGGGCTTACAGAAAGCGATGGCAGCGTCACGACCGGTGTGACTGTGATAGCGAAGCGTCGCACGTGCTCGAGGAAGCTTTTGGTGCCGCGCACAACGATCGTCACCGTGGCGACACCGGTGTAGCCCTTGGGCGGCGTGTAGGTCATGCCTTGCAGGGCACGGTTGCCGTTGGCGATCGGCGCTTGAAACTGCAGCATCGTCGGTGTTGACGTCACGACGACCGTCTGCATCAAGTTCAAGCACTTGACACTGCCAATAGACGTTGCAATGTGAAACAACCACAACTGGGCACTGTCGTCGTAGTCTTCGACCCAGGCGCTGGGCATCGAAAGCACGGTGTCTTGGGCCATTTTCAAAGCGACAGGCGGCAAGACGCCGGTTGCTACCGCACCTACATATATCATCATACTCAGTACTCTTGAAGGGAATCTATACCTCGGTCCGAGCCGTTGATGTGGATGTACGGGGCGTCTGGAACGGACCAGACAGGAAATCGAAACACTTGGGGCGGAGCGTCGTCGAGCGCCACGGTGAGTTCTTCGACGCCGTTGAAATGCATCGGCGCCTCGTAGACGACGTCGGTCACCACGAACGGTATGCGCGCTACGGCCGTCGTTACATGGAGTTGCGACGACGGGCCACTGCCACCGAAGCGCAGTGTCCCCACGTTGGTTGTTAGCGCCAGCGAGACGAGCGAATACGGCGTGCGTCGCGTCGTCAAGGTCAATGCTTGTAGTCTCAGAGGCATGTCTTCGAGAGCGTGGCAGCCGTGAAGCGTAAAGAACGTGTGGCGGCGCGTCGGCGGTCGCACCGTGATCGTTTGAGGCGCTAGCGACGTCCACGACAAGCTCGATGCGACGTCGGACGTCGACCAGTAGACCTCCAGCGTCCCAAACCAAGTGGCATCTGGTGTGTACACTAGTTGACGGAGCATCGGATTCAAATACCGAGGCCGTCCTTGGAGCATGAGGTCGAGACCGGCATGACGCTGCAGCACCGTATCCGAACTCGATTGCGCACTTGCAACCGACGCGAGTCGCAGTGTACCGTAGCTTTCAGCAACCGTTGCACGTACAACTGCCGATGACCCGAGACCGGTCAAGCCTGTGCCGTCGACCACAATCGGCGTTTGGTCCGTCTCGAAGAGTGACTCGTGGCACCGAGCCAAGAAGACGACCGAGAACGTTCGACCAAGATTTAGCCCAACGTCCGAGTCCCGTACAAGCACGCGGCCCCGTCCGTTGCAGAAAATGGTCGGCAGTTGTAAAAGCGCAGATGCCACGGCACTAGACGACGCATCAAACGGAATCGGTGCCGATGTCTCGTTGCGATAGGACAACACAAACGTCCCACCAATCGCATTGGCTGCCGTCACCGTCGACACGACAACGTCAGCAACATGTAGCCCACCCGAGGCGGATACGACGCTTAGCGGAGGCAGCGACGCGGGGCTCTTGTAGAGGGTGATGGTCCACGTGTAGCCGCCGTTGGCCACGGGACCGGTTCGCTGAATGTGGCAGCCAACACCAGGTAGCATCGTCACGAGTGCTGCCTCAAGGGACTGTCCTTGCCGGCCACCAAGGCTCGCGTCAATGCCTTCGTCGGTGACCATCGCGACGGCGTTGTACTGCACCGGCGTCGACGTTCGCAATGTGCCGTTGGGAAATGCGACTTGGAGAGAGAAGGCGCCCGTGACAAGCGACGCTGACGAAACGACCGCGATTTGAAGGACAGGGTTGACGTGCTGCGCCGATAGTATCACGTCGTATACATCGGGGACTCCGTAACCTTCTTCCAAGGACGTTATGTGCACTGTCGCCGCGCTGCCAAACGTCCGGTTGCCAGCACCCAGAAGCGATGCTGGCTGCGGTAGGAGCCTTGAGGCGTTGGCACTCAGCACTGGGAGGTTGTACGCAGCGTCGAGGAACGTGACAGTCCACGCGAACCCGCCGCTCTTGTCGGGTCGTCGCGTTCGTGTGACGGCAACGCGATGCAGTAGCGGATGGGCCTCGAGCGCCAACTGCACGTCGAGCGCCGAGGCCGACGCAGCAACGGCAGTTGTTGGGATACCTTGAAAGAGAAGCTGGAACGACCCTGAGATGTGAGATAGCAGTGCACTCGGTTGGACGCTCACGACGATGCTTCCAGTCGTCGAGACCAGAGACATGTCAAACGTCCATAGCTCGGTGGCGACGACGACGAATGCCACCTTCCAGTGTTGTCGACTTGTTGGGCCGTACGTCACGTCGATATGAGCCGGCGCCGGCGTCGAAAGCGCCGCCTGCACTTGCGACTGCATTGAACCGCCAAGGCCTTGGCCTGCCGGACGCCCGCCGATTTCTTCCATTGTTGTTGCAACAGCGGTCGCATCGACTGTGAACGTCGACTGTCCTACGAGACCACCGGCACTTTGCCACGTCACACGCATCGTGATGGTGCCCGCTGCCGGGGCAGCAACGACGACGTCAAACACTTGATCTTGGTGGACATCGACGGTAGTCTGCACCACCTGGATTGCAGGTGCGAAGGCTACCACGGTCGTTGCCGACACTTGCACCGGCGTTGCATCGGTGGGCGTAGGCGTCACGGCGACGCCCGGTAGGAGGCAAGCGTCGCTGCCCGCCGTGCATGTTTGGTTGCTACCGTCAAGGTAGGCAACCGTTGGGACAGAGCCGACCCGCTGGCCTCGGCACTCGGTCGTACGGCGCGCGATATGGGGGCAAGTGACGTGCCGTGGGCGAGATCGTCGACTCGATACTCGATGCTGCCGCTTGTCGCATTCAGAATAATCGATCCAAGAAGCAAATTGGCGTGCTCCAGAGGGGCCTCGAACGTCAAGGCGCGCCATCGACCAGGCCTGAGCATCGTCTCGTTGACCCATTGCACAGTCGGTGGCATTGGCGCAACGATGCCAAAGCCACCGTCGACGGATGTTGCAATCGAGAACCGCATCAAGGACGACCAGCCTTTTGAGAATACATCAACGTCGTCAACGCGAATGCCGCACCGCGCCTGCCGACCCGGCTGGGCGTGGATTCTCGGGGCTTGGTTTGTCGGCATAATCTCGACCATAACGTTGCAGGTCGCGTTCGTTGCGGGTGCCATTGACTCGACACTGGCAATGATTACGGTCAGGTTGACTTTGGTCGGTAGCACGCCGGTATAGTTGGTGTGCATCGTCAGTAAGCTCAGTGCCGCTTGAACGTGGGGTAGCGGACCCGTAAAGAGCACCTCCGTCGTCGGTGCAAACGTCGACGCTGAGATTGACGCGGACGCCGGGTCCAACTGCAGGTACATGGGCGACTGCCCAAGAACGGTCACCGCGTACGTGGAGGCGCTGCCACCGTGAAGCATGACAGTGTCGCCAAGGGCTTGCGTCACTGCTGCATCGGCAAGAATGTTCCGAGAAAGGGTGTCGCAGAGAATAGTCGGTGGTGTATACTGCTGTCGCACCTCCACCAGGACGGTTGCGGTGGGCAGTGTCGTATCGTTGGAGGAGAGCTGGAACGACACGGTATCGGTCGTCGGCTGCGCCGGCGCCGTGTACTGCAAAAGCTGAAGCACAGCATCAAGATCCCGCAACGACTGTGTGAGCTTGATGTACTGAGTCGCACTCGGCTGCGACGGCACGTACAAGGTGCCCGATTGCACTGTAAGCTCGAGCGTCCATAATTGTAGCCGTGAGCCGCACGCCAATGCAACGGAGAGTCCGTCGAGCACTTTAGAGGCACCGACGCTGACCACCACGTCAGTAGTGACAACGGCGATCTCTGGCTGGCACGCCACAAGTATAGTTATCTCCAGTGCGACGACCGCCGACCCATCGACTGCCGAGAGTGACAAAACATCGGTGGCGCTGTGGGATGGTGTGTACGCAAGACTGGACACGAACAAATTGAGTTGTGCGACCGTGCCCTGAACAACGACGCGTGGCGGCGACACCGACGCCTGGAGCGACGTACCCGGTACGAGTGTATACGTGAGCATACCATGGTTCACAGCCAGTGTCAAAGACAATACGTCGGAATTCGAGTCGTTGCTATCGTCGAGATGCACCGTGCCGTAAAAGGGAAGCGCCCGCGAGGTAACGACGGTGGCATCGACACGCCATGTCGACGCCGTCGTGTTGACACGCCACACCGGCGGATCGTTGACGCTTTGAATCCAGACCAAGAGCATCGCGGACGTTGAACCAAGATCAACGGTGATGACGTCGGGCCCATGGACGTTGGCAGCCGGGCGGTACACAACAGGCTGCGTCGCTAGCACGGACGCCACGCAACTCGGATGCCCAGTGACACTGTCGCCGGTCACGGTGGCACATGTAGAAGGCGCCATCGTGCTCAAATCAAACGTCCCAGCTGTGGCAGAGAACACGACAGTGACGGTGCCAAATGCGTCATCGACGTTGGAGATGGTGAAGAACGGCGTAATCGATACCTCACTGTCCTCGAGCACAGTGACCGGTGTCGCCGAGGCGGTGAGCTTGGGGGGTGTCGGCGCACGCTGCGGCATCTCCACCGTACTTTGAACGCACTTGGGTAGGCTTGGGTCGGCCAGGAGTGTCTCATACTCTTGAACACACACTGTGACATTGGCGCTCGTCAGTGATGTAAAGCGGACGACGCAGTCGCGCAAAGCACTGTTGATGGCTGCAAGGGTTCCTTGAAGCGTCATGCCATCGGGAACCGTGCGGAGGCGAATGCCGGGTGCACCGGTGCTTAAGAACGACCCCGTCGGCGACTGTACAGTTAGCACGTAGCTGTTGCTGGCGTATTCGTTGCCATCCACGTCGTCGATCTGGAGACCGCAGAGCGAGCCCGTTGGCGATACGCTGAGCGTCCCGTTCAGCGTTGGTGGGTCGTTCGTAGCCAAGACGGCGAGAGGCAGGGTCACCACAACGCCCGTCGGATCAGTGAACGAGACGGTGTCGTCCCCGTGGTAGTGGTCACTGGGCTTGTAGAGCAATTCATCGACGCGAGATATCGGTACAAGCAGATGTTTGACCCACGCGGAAGATTCGGTGGTTCCCAGTCGCAGCCATCCAACGTTCGTACGCACTGCCACGACAGTGTCCGTGGTGCCGCCGGAGAGAATGTGGTCGAGAGATACCGTGCCACCTTCGTGAAGGACAACGGCGGTCTTTTGTAGAGTCAGCGGCGGTAGAGCGTTTACGTACGTAACAGGAAGCGCCAGCACGGAGGTGTCGGCGTCGGAGGTACTAGACACCCGAATCGTGACTGTGTCGTTACCGCTGCCAGTCGCTGGTCCTCGGTACGAGAGCGTCGCCAAAATGCGCTTGGCGACTTGTGCACTGCAGTAGACACTGGCGGGGTTGTATGCACTGGGTGTCGAGCCAAACGTCACGGTTCCCACGTGTGTCGTCACCTGCAGACGGACAAAGACGTCGGTGGTCAACGGTGTGACGTCGACGGCCGTGATCACCACGGCAGGCAGTGGCACTGCCTCGACGCCATGCGCCACTATCGTGCTGTTGGCTGATTTGGCGAGACTTAGCACAATCGGATCGGGCACGGCTTCGACCAGGAGAGCTACGACGGCACTCGCTTCGATCCCAGGAGCGTCGGTCGACGCAAAAGACGAGATTGGACGCACATCGATCGTGACAGCATCGAGACCGGCGTAGTTGGGCGACGGTCGATACGTTGTCGATGTCACCATCGCCGATACGTTCTCCGCTGACGCTAGAAACGTCACTGTTGCGCCTGCATCGAGCGCCAAGTGGCTCAGTGTCCCGTGGGTAACCGAGAGTGTGATGTTGTAGACGGCAGCCAATCGAGAGTTGGGCGATGGAGTGATGCGGACGCTCGGAAGCATTTCCGTTGTGTCTTCTTGAAGTCGCAATGACGCACCTACTCCGCACCGATGAATCTACTACTTTAGTTGAAGGTGTTCGTACGCTCCAAATAAATGCTTGGTGGTGCGTCCATGGGTGCCACAATGATTGACAGCACCGTCGGTACCGTCGTATTGCCATCGACGACGACCGTCACCGAGTCGTTCCCGGCGTACGACGTCGCCGCCTGGTACAAGAGGGACGACAAGGCGAGCACAAGCGACGACGCCGTCGCACGCAGCTCCAGCGCTCGATCCCCAGAGGGCGCCCCCACAACGTATTCGACAAGGTCTCGATGCGGGAGGTCGACCCAAACGAGGCCGTGCAGTGTCGTGACGACGAGATTGACGACGGCATCGGCGGTGTTGGAGATGAGTCGAACATGGCTCGACAAGGCTACTGGCGTACCTGGCAGTGTTGTCACCTGGCTGCCACCGGACACCACGGTCGTGTAGCACACGACGGAAGGCAACAACGACAACGCATCAAGCTCCGTACTCGTCGCATCGGCGGGTGCTGGGTCCAACCGAAGCAGCATCGAGCGCTCGACGGCGTTGGAGGTCGTTGCTGCAACGAGTGTGAGATTGCTGCAGGCGACGATGACTCCAGGATCGATGATGGTCATTGTCACCGCCAGATGGGGCACCGGGAGGTCGACAAAGTCGAGCGTTGGATGGACCGTGTGGTGCGCAGCGCTGTACGTAATTTGCCAGCCAACGACGCCGGCATCGGTGCTCGTCGTGACGACGACATTGTCGCCGAGTGTGGCGGCGAGCACCTTTTGGATCCTACTTGCCGTCGTGTCCAATGGAAACGGCATGCCCAGGAGCATAAACGCCGGCAACGCGACATCCATGAAGGCGGCGCGCCACCCGTGATGGTCACGATCGGCGGTCGGCCCACGGTTGTCGTGAGCGTGCTGGACGCGACAGAGAGAACGGGGAGATCCGCGAGAAATTGCAGCGTACAGCTGTCGCCGGTGCAGGTGACGGCAGCTGCGAAATGCAGGCGTAGCGACGGCTGCGGTACCCACGAAAACGTCAGCGTATTGTTGGACGGGAACCAGATGGACGTCGCTACAGTCAACGGCGTCACAGTCGCAAGCGACGGGTCGAACGTAAAGATGTACTGCTGCGTATACGCGTCCATGGCACGTGTCGTCACGGCCAGTTTGCCGACCATCGAGGCCATGGACGGCAGCGCTAACAGCGCTGCTTGCACGGCACTGGGCGTCGACTGCCCCGAGAGCACATGGGTCGTGTACCCGTCGTACTGCAGCGAGAAGGCACCCGCCTCGGGCGATACGGTAGCAAACGGCACTGGAAACGTCATCTCAAGTGTCTGAATGCTCTGCGTCGGCACTTGCGAGCAGCGCGCGGTCATGGCGTCGATCGCGCTTTCGACCACCGACGCCACGAACGGGTACCCGATAGCGTCGGTTGTGCACTGGCAGCGCGACGGTGGGGAGCACCATGCCGCATCGACAACACCGTTCACATCAAAGCCGAGAACAATCGTCCCAGAGACAGTGCCTTGAGGCGCCGTCACCGTCAGTGCCACGGGTGGGTTGGTCGCGAGCACCGCCGAGACGCGTAGCACAGCCTTGTCACGGTACAAAACGACGGCGGGATCGGTTGCCGGCGAGGATCGCTGCAGCTGGAGACGGTGCAGCGCGTCGACGGCGCCCACAAGTGTTCCGTTGAACGTCCACGTGTGAGCGTTCCTGTTGAATGGTAGGACCAACTGAACACCAGACGTCACCTGGACTGAAACGGACACGGTGTCTGCTACTGCCACGTCAGTGACCATCGACGAGAGCGTATCGACTGCCACATAGCGAAGGTCCACACTCGGCACACCCATACTACCCGTGAAGGGGACGACAAGCAGTTGGGGAAGATCGGTCGCGACGAGATGGCCCGCGGACGCTGGCGGGACAATGACGTCCAATGACGCCGCGGCCGTCTCAGTGGTCACGACAATGGTATCGACACGATGATTGTACAACCCGAGATGTGGCTGGTACTGAAGGTGCGCTGCGCTTGCCGCAAGACTCAAACTCGAGCCCACGAGGCGGAGCGGTGACCTGTAAAACGTGACGATCGACGCGGACGTCGCCGTGAGCCCGTGCCCGACGACTTGCAGATGGGCGGGCGTCGAGTAGTTTGTGATGTACCACTCGTCCATCGTGACGCCGGACGCCTTTACGACGGCCGACGACGAGAACGACGGCAAGCCCTGGAGCGCCCGTTGCACATCGGGTGCCGATGCGCCGACGGGTACCCGAATCGTTGTCTGGTCGCCTGCAACAAAGGAAATGCTATCCGGTGGCTCAAAACTTTGAAGCTCGACACGCTGGATGTCGGCGCCGGCGCCAACGAGACCGCAAGCAGCCAGCGGCGTCGGACTGCATCCTCGGACAACATCGACGTCGATCGATACGTCAGGGTAGAACGTGATCGCCCAGCAGTAACCATTCGGAATCGTCGGAATCGCCGACCGGACGACCGTTGTCTTGCTGCCGAGAAGAGCGCCGAGCGTTCGTTGCATCGTTGCCGCCTCGGCATTGAACGCCACCGGGCGTGTCGTGCGACCACCGGCGCGCACAGCAAAGGTCCCGCCAACAGCGTTGCCGGCATCGTTTACAACTACCGAAGCTTGGACGTTGGCCCCCGTGACGGCAGCCACGGCCACACTCAGTTTTGGGACAATACCCGCGATCGGATCAAAGGTGATGACGCACTGGTAGCCAAGTCCGAGGGTTGTCGTCACGACAACAGACACGACGCGGGTAAGCGTGTTGAGCAGCAGCAGCACTTGGCTCTGAGGCGCAGCGATCGGAATCACGACCGATGCGCCAAGCAGCGAGACGTGGTAGGCGCCGCCCATGGGCACCAAACTCGTCAAGTGCAGCGTCTGTTGCGCCGACTGGAGCAGGCACGTGCTACATAGTTGCAGTGCTTGATACGGCACCCCAACAGCGTGGGACCCATTTCGTACGGTCGTAAAGCACAACACCGCTTGGATGGGATCGGCAAACACCAGCGAAGGCAGGCGCCCCACCGTGAGCGACGGTACATTGCCGATGGCGCCGGGTATCGAGGTCTGGACGGCGTCGATCGACGCATAGACGCCCGAGCCAGAGACATTTGTCGTGTCGACTGTAAGGGTCGGCGTTGGGTTGAGCGAGAGAAATGTTACAAGCCACTGATGTACGTAGTTGGTCATCGGCAAGGACGTCACGACCACCTGCTGTGTACCCGAGAGAAGGGCATTCAGCGCACTTTCAAGAATGGTCGCTGACGCACGCAGTGGCAAGAGATCGGTGGCATGACCGTTGTAGCGCACAGAGAAAGCACCATCGAACGCTGCATCGGGTGTCGTCGTCGTGACGTGCAGTTGTGGATCTGGCGTGAGCGTGTACGGATACGTCGGTGTCACGCAGTCACCGCAGGATTGCACGGACCGGCCGTCGTTCCAGAGCACTGCCACTGTCCACGCCGCCGCCGAGGTTAAAAATGTGATTTGCCAATGGGTTTCTGTCATCGAGACGACCGTTGATGTCACACGCACGGCGCCGAGCGCTGGTATGCAGTGAAGCGCAATTTGAAGATCGGCGGCCGAGACTTGCCATGCGAGCTGCGTCGATGTCCAGGACGCCGTGGCGGTGGTCATTTGGAGCCGAAAAGTACCCATGAACGGCACTTGGTCATTGCGCGACACGACCGTCGCTACCGCGTTGCGTCGGTTTCCGGGCCGGAGCAGTGTCGCAGTTGCCTAACCATTGATTACTACCGTATCGCTGCATCATGAAGGCGTACCGACGAGCCGACGACCGACGTGTTGAGAACGACCAGCGGTATCACGGGTCCATGCAGCGATATATGCGTGATCTCCCACGTGAACAATCCAAGGACGTTTTGCGCCGACGGCGTCACGATCACGTCGCCGATCGTTGCAAACGCCACCGCCAGCTGCTGCTGTAGCACCGATGCGAACGGTGCCGTTGCCGTCGGTGTAAGCACCAGCGGTGCCGTCGTTGTCGCACCCGCATACGTCCATTGAGCAAACACCGTCACATTGCCTGTCGGTGGCAGCGGGACGGTCAGTTGGAGTGTCTGGATCGCGGGCTGCACCGTGGCGCCGACGCTCACCTGCACGATGGCCGGTGTACTCAACCACATAGACACGACTGTATTGCTGCAGATGGACGCCGTTGTCGACGACGACGACGGTACAAAAACGCTAGGCAGCGTCGGCATCGCTGAAAGCGTATCTGCGAGCTGCGCCAATGTACTCGACGTCGGAATCGGTGCCGACGTGGCGCCACGAAATCCAATCGTAAACGACCCGCCAATCGCGTTGCAATGTAGCGACACCTGCTCGATGACGTTGTCCAGCACCGGTGTCTTCCCGATTCGGACGACAAGGTGGTGCTCTTGCCCCGGCACCGATTGCACCGATGGTAGATGGGGCGTTGTGCTGACGACGACACTCTCTACCGACTCGGTTGTCGCCGAAACGTGCTTTGGCCGTGCCGAAGAGAGCCGCCACGTCACATCGTACGCGTCACGCGCAAGCGTCATCGCTGTTGCCGTCGAGTCATCGATCAAGGACGCTACCAGTTGCGTGAGCCGCATGTCCGAAATGCCAACAGGGATGTCCGCGTGGCGGCTCATATTTGAGTGCAGCATCCACGGTGTTGTGAGCGGTTGCCGCCCTACACAGACATACGTCATTAGGTCAGCGGCGCAATGCAGATCGACAGCGCACCTTGGCTCAGAACGCGATGCTGAAGTTGCAGCGCACCTGTCGTTGGGCCAAGGGATACCTGGAGTGGTGGTCCACTGTAGCTGATCGTCCACGTGCATTGAAGCGTCGGTGTCAAGCAATCGCTCGTCGAAAGATCGGCTGTCGCGCCAATCGTATGGAGCGCTTGCTTGAGAGCGTACGGGCTCGTGAGCAAAGGCAATGACACGCTGCGCGGCGGGTCCAGCAGAGCCGTCCAGTGCCAATTGTCTGTCGGCAAGACGGCCTTGCTACCGACGGCAAGCGTCTGCACCGTCATGGACGGAATTCCGTTCTGGCACATACTACACAAGTTTGCGCCGGTTCCAGCAAGAAACTGCGGCACGACGACGACGCCTGCCAAGCAGTCGACATAGGTGTTGGCGACAAACGTTATGCGCCATGTAAACGGCTCGATTTTGGTGACGACGACGGTGTCGACAAAGCCTTGGGTGAGCGCCACCTGCACGTCGGTCGCCAGTGCGTTGTACGGCAACGGATTGGTCGTGAACGACGCGGACGTGGCGCCGTTGCACGCCGCGTCGACGGCGACGGAAAGCACAAACGTACCGCTCTGCACCGTCGCATCGGGAATGGCGACCGCGACCACGGGGGGAACCAACGACCCGGCGACGGTGCGGGCAATTGTCACGGGGCTGCCGACGCCCGACCACGGCGCTGGAAAGCTCTGCACCGTGGCCTGCAGCAGCGGAATCGTCGATCCCGACAAGGACGCAAACGTGATGCTCCACGTGCACCCACCTTGGGCATCGGGCGGGCTCCGCGACACGGTAATGTCGCCGGCGTTGGTCAACCCGGATTGAAGTGCGGTGGCTACTGCCGTCGCCGAGCCAAACTCGTCGGTGAGGTCGACGACAGCAGACGCCGTCGTGCCCAGATACGTTAAACTAACGACGACGACGGCTTCGACGATCGTGCTTCCGACGTCCGCGGTCGTTCGAAGCATCTGCACTTCTTTGGTAAAGGTTGAAGACACGGTGATGCGCTCCTGGGCAATGATGCCGGTGGAGCGGAGCGAGACGTCGGTGATGTACCGGTCGCTACCGATCTCAACGTCGGACGGCAAGGTGGGCACGCCAATGTATCCGAATTGCGAAGCAAGGGTGATGGACGTGCGTGCAACGTGCCCGGCAGTCCCTTGCAGCCCGAGGGGTACGGCAACCGTCGGATCGGTCATGACCAGCGTCGTTGTCGGGGTCGTGACAGTCAGTGCCGGTGCGAGAAGTATTGTCGGCGTGATCGACACTGCCATGGCGTACGTTGCCGTCGCACTACTCGAGCTGCCGCAGTTGCCATTGTCAGCGATGCTTAGCGTCCACGACGTCGAAGTCGCTTCGGGCAATGCGCACACCGAGAGGCCTTGAAGCCAGGCGTTGAGGCCACTCAGCGGTCCCTCGACGACAATGGCCGAGACGGTGCTGTTGACACTGTTGCGCGACAAGTGTGCTGTCGAGAGTACCTGGAGCTGGTGTCGCACCAAACTCGACGAGGCAAAGGCAAGGTATTGCGCGCTTAACGCCGGTGCACTCATGGAGAGCGTGAGCATGCCAGCGCCGTTGGCGACTTCGTCGACATCCATGTCTGTCGCCACGATAGCTGCAAACGTGCACGACGCCGGTGCCACGTCGACACCCGTTGGCAACTCAAGGCTCGGAGGATTGTTGACGGCCAATATCGACACGGGGACGGCCACGTGATTGGATGGAAAGAGAAAAGCCAGGCGGCGCACCGTCGATGTCGAGAGAGGTTCAGCGCAAGTCGCAAGCAGCGCGTCGGTGGTGGAGGGTGCTAGCAGCGCGGCCTCGATTGCAATGAAGTACAGTGTCTCGGGCGACTGATCGCGATGCACGCACGGCGACGAGAGGTCCGGCGACGACCAGTCAAAGTTGTAGTGGGCATCAGGCGTGTAGACGAGGCTGCCTAAAATCTGGTTGGCGTCGACGAGCGTGGTCTCGATGACAAACGACGCGGGCCTATCGCACATGGTCCAGGCGCGAACCCAGGCGCTGGCGTCGGTGCTGCGGACTGTTCCGTGGGCGCAGGCCACCTGCGTAGTGTACCATGCATGGTCATCTCGTGGTCATCATCACAAACAGCTACGTACGAGCATGTGCAAGATCGTATCATTGGCGACACCGGCGAGCGCAAGGCTCGAGATGTGGAGTGGCGTGTCTTCGAGCGTCGAGAGAAATGACCCGGGAGGCAGCTAGGCAGGCATGAGCGTCCGTGGTTGCGCATGGCATGCGGCCTACGGGCTGGAAGCGCACGGTCGACGTCAGCGCGTCAACGAGAGCGCTCAGCACGGCGCCGATCGAGGCCACCGCGAGGCCCCACTTGCTTGGGCCCATCCTGCGTCTGGCGGGCGGATCTTCAAGAGGTGCAAGATATGGAAACCCTCTCAAACGGCATGTTGTGGAGGTGCGTTTTATAGGTAATTCTCCATAATTCGATAGAAGCCAAGCTAGGAAAGAGGTTTTCCTGCCACCGACGCAAGAGCAGATAAATACACGGTGCATTCTAGGCACAGTAAGGATAGAATAACTGACACGGCTTAAGGCTTCTTGACGTCGTCGTCGTCGTCGTCACTCCATTGGAGGCCCGTGTCGGTGTCGCCGTCGTTGGCCTCGTCGCTGCAGTCCAGGTAGCGGCGCATCGCGGCAGCTCGCACCGTCTCGCCGTCAGTCTCCTCAATTTCAGCCAGCTTGGCCTTGTACAAGTAGCGGGCATGTGTGGGATGGCATTCGCCAAAGCGCAGGGCCGCTGTCGCGTACCGACTGTGATGATGGCCTGCATCGCGCTCGTCCGTGGCAATGTCGTCGTCCAGTGGCGAGCAGTCGGTAGGCGTCACGCACGGACGCTTGGCGCAGACAGCGTCGGCGGTCGGGCAGGCGCGCTTGGTGGCGGGCATCTTCGGTGGCAATGGGTAAAGTGAGCAACAACCAACAACCAGCGCCAAACGAGCTGCAATCCGAACGTTCGACAATTACTTACACTTGATAATCTATCAAGTTCCGAAGCTTACAAAGAGGCAGACAAACCCGAACACTTCAAGATATCAGATCTGCGACATGACACTGGACCAAGCAAAAGAACACGCTCGCATCTTGGCTGCGATTGTTGGGCTCTTGAGCTTGCGGTGTTGAGCTTGGTTGTGGGCTGTGCTGGTGGGCTGCTAGCTGTCAGGTCAATAACGCAATCCCCTGCAGTGCGCTACGACTACTGGTACAAGCTGAGTGGGTTCCAATACTGTAGGCAACCGATGCGGCAAATTGGGTGCGATTAGCACACGCGTGGTATCCAGTCCGCTCGTATCCGGACGTTTGTAGCGAAACCGTCGGTGGAAAATGGCGTGTTTTTAGCAAGCAGCCATGAACGACGTCTTGGTGCCTGCCCGCTTTGTCCTCACGATGGGCCACCTCATGCTCACGGGCATGGCATGGCGAAGTCGGGTACATGCGAGCGCTTCGTTCTAGCATGGCTCATGCAGCCTCAGGCGCGCAACGTCCTTGCAGCGCTGCCGCCGCTGGCCAACGTGACGACATCCGACATGGCCGCGCTGGCCACGGCCTCGGTCGAGGTCGGCTGCAACGGCAGCGCGGCCATCGCGGCTGATGGACCTTGTTGATGTAGGCGGCGTGGGTCTTTGCGTTGCTGGGATTTGCCGTGAGCCTCGGCGGCCTCGTGCGGGGTGCGTCGGGCTGCAGCCCCATTGTACGACGGTTCCTTTGCCCGAGAAGGCTCTTCATGGCGGTGATCAACCTAGGCCAATGCGACGCAGATCGTCGCGCAGTTTGTCGGGAGTCTCATGCTGTCGCGGTTCCTCCGTGACGAGCTCCACTACATCTACCTCTGGTACGCCCCCTCGCCGCAGGTTCCTCCCATCCACGATCTATCTAGGTACATAGTCGCCGTCGTACACGTGCCGAGTCTGGCGCTCGAACTCGGCTGCGCGTCCTTCGGCAAGCGTGTGTACCCGAGGTAGACGCGACGAGAAGCAGCAGCATGATCGATCCATGTTACAGAGGAAGAAGCAAGCTGCATTGCACTATAAAATTATACGTCCATCAACTAACTTAGGCGTTGAGCTTCTTCATCAAGTTGAGGGCCGAGCCGTGCTTGAACCAGTCAATCTGTTCGTCGTTGAACGTGTGGTTGACCGTGATGTCAAAGGCGGCGCCCGACGCCGGCGTGACGTGGAGCGTCAAGGGCTTGCCGGGCGCAAACTTGTCGAGGCCGACGATCGAGATCTTGTCGTTGCCCGTAATCTTGTCATAGTCGGCCGGATCGGCAAACGTGAGCGGGAGCATGCCCTGCTTCTTGAGGTTCGTCTCGTGGATGCGAGCAAACGACTTGACAATGACGGCGCGGCCGCCGAGGTGGCGGGGCTCAAGAGCCGCGTGCTCGCGCGACGAGCCTTCACCGTAGTTCTCATCGCCGACCACGACCCACGAGATGCCCGCAGCCTTGTAGTCGCGGGCGGTGTCCGGGACCTTGCCCCACACACCCGTGTGCTGGTTGACGATCTCGTTCGTCTTGTCGTTCTCGGCGTTGACGGCGCCAATCAACATGTTGTTCGAGATGTTGTTGAGGTGGCCACGGTACTTGAGCCACGGGCCGGCCATCGAAATGTGATCGGTCGTGCACTTGCCCTTGGCCTTGATGAGCACAGGCATGTTGAGCATGTCCTCGCCGTTCCACGCGTCAAAGGGCTCGAGGAGCGCAAGGCGGTCCGAGGTCGGGCTGACCTTGACCGTGAGCTTCGAGCCGTCGGCGGGCGGCGCCTGGAACGTGTCCTCGCCAGCGTCAAAGCCGCGGGGCGGGAGCTCCTTGCCGTGGGGCGCATCAAACTTGAACTGCTTGCCGTTGGGGAGCGTGATCGAGTCGACCTCCGGGTCGAACGTGGTCGTGCCGGCAATCGAGCAGACCGTGACCATCTCGGGCGAGGTCACAAAGGCGTGCGTCTCCGGGTTGCCGTCGGCGCGCTTGGCAAAGTTACGGTTGTACGACGTCACGATCGAGTTCTTCACACCCATCGGGACATCCGTGCGGTTCCACTGACCAATGCACGGGCCGCACGCGTTGGCGAGGACGGTACCGCCAGCCTCCTTGAACGTGTCGAGGATGCCGTCGCGCTGGATCGTGGCGCGGACCTGCTCCGAGCCGGGCGTGACAAAGTACGGGACCTTGAACTTGAGGCCAGCGGCCTTGGCCTGCTGCGTCAAGTCGGCGCAGCGCGACAAGTCCTCGTACGACGAGTTGGTGCACGAACCGATGAGACCCGCGCTGAGCTCCGTGGGCCAGCCGTTCTCGGCCGAGGCAGCAGCCATCGGCGCGCCGGCAACGTTGGCGCGATCGGGCGTGAACGGGCCGTTGAGGAGGGGCTTAAGGTGGTCGAGGTTGATCTCAATGATCTGGTCGTACTGGGCACCGTCGTCGGCGCGCAAGTTGGCGGCGAACGACCGGGCCGCCGAGGCAATGCCCGGGCGGTTCGTGGCGACGAGGTAGTCGGCCATGCGCTCCGTGAAGGGGAACGTCGAGCACGTGGCACCGATTTCAGCACCCATGTTACAGATCGTGCCCATACCCGTGCACGAGATCGACTCGACACCAGGGCCGAAGTACTCGACGATCGCGCCGGTACCGCCCTTGACGGTGAGGATGTCGGCAACCTTGAGGATGACGTCCTTGGGCGACGTCCAGCCCGAGAGCTTGCCCGTCAAGTGGACACCAATGACCTTGGGGGCCTTGAGCTCCCACGGCATACCAGCCATGACATCGACGGCATCGGCACCACCGACACCGATGGCGCACATGCCAAGACCACCGGCGTTCACCGTGTGCGAGTCCGTACCAATCATGAGACCACCCGGGAACGCGTAGTTCTCGAGGACGATCTGGTGAATGATACCGCTGCCGGGCTGCCAGAAACCAATGCCAAACTTGGCGCCGGCCGACGAGAGGAAATCGTAGACTTCCTTGTTCACGATGTTGGCCGTGTTCAAGTCTTCAACCGAGCCCTTCTCGGCCGTGATCAAGTGGTCGCAGTGGATCGTCGACGGGACGGCCGTCTTGGGGAGGCCCGACGAGATGAACTGGAGAACCGCCATCTGGGCCGTGGCGTCCTGCATGGCAACGCGATCGGGGCGGAGCTTGAGGTACGTCTCACCGCGCTTGGGCACGCCAAAGTTGGCGTCGTCCAAGTGGCCGTAAATGATCTTTTCGGCCAACGTAAGCGGCTTGTTGATGTTCTTGCGCACGATGGCGAGGTTCTTCTCCATCTTGGCGTACGTCTCGTCGATCGTGGGCTGCCGGCAGGGTCCAAGACCGAGAGCGGGGTCGAAGAGGCCGCACGCTACACACACAAATCTCATTTAGCCCACCCATTCTGGTCCAAATTGCACGCGGCTTGCATTGACGGCAACGTCAAGGCAGCGCGCATCGGCCATGACTGCGTACCGTGGCCATCGAGGAGGGCACCATGACCTGGCGGCGCGCCGAACGCGTCAACGCGGACAACATGTTGCTACTTGTCTTCTTGGCGTGAAAACGACAATGCCTCCGCCGCACGTTTAATAAATTCCGCGGGATCCGCCGATATTAATTTGCGGAATTCCACGCTGATCATTGCGGCGTCGGTTTCGTCAACAGCGCGCCCTTAGTATACAAACGCCAAGTTCTTTCAAATCTTCCTCCGCTGGCTCGACATTAAAATGACCACTATTTTTATGGGATTGTTGAATAAAAATGCACCCGATTTGCACACGAGAGGCTACAGTTCAACCCCACGAAGGCCTGTATCCGGACTTCCGGATACGGTGCCGCAAAAAACAGCCAATCACCGCCAAGGATGACAAATGGCGCCTGAAGGATTCTTGACCAGTCATTAGCCGCGCCGCGATGCGATTGGTCGCTTGGCGGAACATCGCCGCGATGACGCGGACCGACGCAGGCGAGATGGTGGCGCCACCAGCGCAGATGGCGCCGACACCGACACCGTCGTCGACACCGACACCGACGTGCAGGACGGTTGCCGTCGCCGTCGCCGCCGCACGTTTTTACAAAGTGCAATCTTGCGACATGGCCGTGGACACAAATAAGCTCGGATGGCGGCTCGGGAACTGGGTGGCGCCATCCGTATTGAAGAAGCCGGCGGTCGACGACGATGGCCGCCGTCGATCGCGAGGTCAACTTGGTGTAGAACGAGCTCATTCTCCGTTCGACGGGCATGTGCACAGCACGCCTCCAACGCGGCAGTAGTCGTTGGTCAAGGACCCAACGCTCCAGATTCGAGCGAGCTTCGTCGGACAGAGGTGGAGCGGTTGAAATGGGTCAGCTTCCTGTGCATGCAAGTGCATGCCCAAGAGCAACCAGGGCGACGACGTGGCGGCGCCTACTTGGCAAGCAGCGTCCATAGGCCTACGTAATGCTGCGAGTTGCGTCAACACCAGGCACATGGCACGCTGACCATGCGCCTGTTCCGCCGTGACTTGAAGGTATCGGTACAAGAGCTCATGTGTGGTGATAGCCGACCGGTCTCGGCCCTTGCAAGAACTGGGTCGTCTGCGCCCTCAGGCTTGACAGCCAGGTGCTGTGACGCCTTAGTCAGCGCTGTGCCTCCAACTGCTTGAGATCTCCTTTAGTGTTGCTGTCGTCTGCCATAAACACACAGCCTTCATACATACATGGCCGACGGTGGCGTCTTCCTTCTTGTTATACGTTCCTAGTCGTCGAGCATTTCACCATCTACAGCGCGGACGGGAGGACCGTGACAAAGTTGCAGAAGTCGACAAAGGTGGCACGCGACCAAAAGTAAAAGCAATCGAGAGGAAGATCGAGATCGGGAGCGCCGGCAGCGCCTTGTGCAGCACGGAGAGGAGAAAGAGCGTGCCGCCAAGTCCCTAATATCAATCCTCATGTATCAATCCAGGATAGTACTAGATAGATAGTATAGTAATACCATGAGGATGCAAAGAAAGCACACGACAAACGTGGAAAAGTCGTACATGGCCGCGCGCCCGACGAGCACCGAGTAAAAGATGAAGTCGCCGAGCCCGAGCTTGATCGTATTGTCGTCTTCGGCGTCCGCCGCCCGCTCTTCGCGCCGCGCGTTGCGCATGTCAATGGCCACTTGGACGTCGCAGGGTGTGCTGGCCGTGCCGCACGAGCACACGAGGTACTTGTGGAACATGGACGGCCACATGCGGTCTTGCTTGAGGAAGAACTTGGCCGCGACCTGCTCGACCTTCCACACGTCGTTGGGACTGTAGCGCTGGTAAAAGGCCCCGAGAAGCGCCTCAAACTCGGCCTCCGTCTCGCACGGGTACGGCTCGAAGGGCTAGCATCACGACCGTTGTCAGCGCATGCAAGCAAGACGGACAAGCGCACCGTGTTGTCGACGACGTGGTCGGAATGCGATGTCGAGAGCTCGATCGTGTACGACGCCGTCGACGGCTCGGCAGCAGGCTGGCGTCCGGCGGGCGGCGCGGGGGCGCGGGGCCGCCGGCGTCGACTTGACGGGCGCCGGTGGCTGCTGCGGACGCTGCTGCTGCTGTTGTTGTTGCTGTTGCTGCTGCTCTTCTTGTTGATGCTGCTGCTGGCGGCGGTTGCCGACGCCGTCGCGGATCTGAGCCTCGTAGAGCAACCCGGGCATCGGCGCTTGCTTTTGCTCAATGAGGCCAATCTGTTCAAAGTTAGTACACAATTGAGGTTGAGATTGAGCGCGCGTACAAGCACTTTGAGGGGCCCGCACGGGGTCAGGACGGCGCAGAGATCGTAGCAGGCAAACATAAAGCAAAAGATCCACGTCGTCCACTGATGCAGCATCCATATGAGCCACGGCGGCGGGGATCGCAGAGCGTACATACCTCGGGCCACATGGAAAACTGCCACGCGAGAATGACGCTTACGAGCACGAGGTAGGCGTTCTGCACGAGCTTTGGGATACCCTGCAAATCGACGTTGTCAGCGAAGACGAGCGCGGATCGAACCCTGTACCTTTTGGTAAAAGATGGCGGCGACACCCACAAAGGCAAAGTTGACCATGATGAAAAGAAACGAGATCCAGTCGAGCGGCCAGTGGAAGCGGTCGTTGAAGACGGTGTCGACGAGCTGGCCGCCTTCAAAGCCGAGGATTGCCGACGACGAAAACATGATGTAGCCCACGAGCAGCTACGCATGCGAGAGATCGCACCGCTGAATTCCATGCCGTCGAGATTATACCTTCATGCAGTTGAACTTGTAGAGAAGCGCCATGCAAAAGGTGAGGACGGTCACAAAGCCAATGACAACCAGCGCGTTGACGAGCGAGTGGCCGACAACCGTGCTCGTCTTGGCGCCTTGGACTTCGTTGTACACGAGGTACGTGCTACGACCATCGTCATGGCAACGAGCAAGCCATTATGGTGCTCTACCTCATCGACGCCTGCAGCGCGGCGCTTCGAAAGTTGACCACGGCAAAGCTACGTCATGGCCGTGAGCACTTGGGCGAGCCATCGCGATGGTACCTGGCGATGACCATGGTAACACAGACGGGCCAGAGCACGGCCCAGAATGAGTTGACGCCATGCATGAGGTCGCCAGCCGCCTCTTCGCGGGTCGCAGCCTCTTCGTCGGCGCGCTGGCGCGCCTGCTCTTCCGGCGGCGTCGGCGTCGCGACCTCGCCGTACGTCGGTGGCACGGTCACGGCGATGACGCGGCCATCCTCGGCCATCAAGGCCGCGCGGTCCTCGTCGCGGGGTGGGCCCGTTACGACGTCACCGTACTGGGGCATCTTGGCAAACTGAATCCTGATTCGAACGTCGCGTGCTAGGTGTTTACACTGGATGTTTGTATGAAACAATTGAAAAGAATGTAAAAAAATACCTGAATTTTCCGACTTGCCA